AAATTCACGAAGTTATCAATGAACTTGAAATCTGTATTTTGATTGGCTGAGACTCTGGGTTAAAATTGTGAATGATTTACAATGAAATTCCTAGACGGGGGTGTTACTGTTCTCTTCAAATGTGAACAATTATCATGCATTTGTCAATTATTCATTGGACAACAAGTAAGCATATGTGTATTGTTCAGTTTATAGACTGTCTATACAGAAGGTAAACTGATGGTAGAAATAACAATTTGAAATAGTGAATAAAGCACTATCGATAATTGTCATCTTTATCGTTATCAATTATCATCTGTGCATAGTTCTAGTCGTGTGTAATGTTGATGGCTCTGAAAGCAGTGACACCACTATTAATACATGTTTCCCCTAATGCTCTGCAATCGAGAAGTTTCCTCGTTGCTAAGTGCAATGCAGTTTTTGGCTGCTTCGGTAGCATATGTCGTAAATAAGAGGGAGCAGAACACTGTGCGAACGTAAATAAGATGTGGCTGGTGCAGTGCTTATGGAGTTATCAAAAGCATTTGATTGTTTACCCCATATACTTCTACTAGCGAAATTGAAACTTATGGCTTCAGCGACAACACAATGGAATTTATGTATAGTTATCTAAATAAAAGAGTACAACGAGTAAACATAAACTCAGATTTTAGTGATTGGAGTTCCTCAACAAAGCAAGGAGTTCCTCAAGGATCAATCTTAGGCCCGTTGCTTTTCAATATTTACATAAATGATATTTTTCTGCATTTGAACAAAAGCAACTAATGCAACTATGCAGATGATAATACAATTTGGCTGTCAAGTACTGATATGAATGAACTAACTGACGACTTAGAATCGGAAGCCGCTATTCTTAATAAATGGTTTTATGAAATTTTGTTGGTGCTCAATGACGATAAAAGCAAGCTTATAACATTTAAAGCCAATCGATCCAATTAAAAGGAATCTAAAATTCAAATAAATGGTTCTACTATAATAGAAAGTAAGAATGTTAAACTTTTGGGAGTAACACTAGACACTCAACTTAGATTAGAAGAACATATTAAAGTTTTTTGTAAAGAAGCTGGTAAAAAGGTCAACGCTCTAGCCAGGATTGCTTCGTATATGGACAAATCTAAGCGAATTCTTTTAATGCAAACGTTCATGTTATCATATTTTAATTATTGTCCTCTTATTTGGATGTTTTGCAGTAGGAAAAGTAATAACCGGATAAACCGGATTCATGAAAGAGCAATGAGAATAGCTCATGATGATTATGAATCAACTTTTGAACAACTTTTAATAAAGAATAAATTTACAATATCTTGCAATAGAAGTTTACAAAACATTTAACGGATTGAATCCACCTTTTATGGATGAAATATTTTCCACAAATGAATGCCCATATTACTTAAGAAACTCCTAATTCGAAACAGCGGAGCCACATTACAAAATATATGGATTTAATACCGTATCATACAGATGTAGCCAAATGTAAAACTCAGTTCCAAATGAGATAAAGTTCTCCCCTACTTTATCGATATTCAAGAAAAAAATCTCAGAATTCACATCGTTTAATTGTACTTATAATCTTTGCAAGGAATACGTTAGCAACATCGTTTATATTTGATTTATATTTAGCGTTGGTAATTTGAATTTGTTGGTTTTAATTAGCTTTTATGCATAGCTAGAAATTGTACCAACTTTAAATAAAGAAAGAAAAAACTGTCAACGTGTTTTAAACTATTTTTTTAAATTCTAAGCCCTCTCCTTTTTTGCGTTTGTGGTAGACAAGGGACATCCCCAAATGTTTACTAGCCATGTGAGGACAAGACCGTCACAACTGTGGAATGTGAGTTCAGTGACACTTCTTGAAAAAGTCTAATTGTAAAAACGATTAGTTTTTGACATGTAGTTGGCAAATTTTCAGACTTATCGGAAAAAAGGATGGCTCACCTTGTCGCGGCAAAAGGGACCCGAGTACCCCCCTCCCCCTTAGCACAATAGCTAGAATTTGAGACCCCAAAAAGTTTTCGAGCATTTCATGAACTCAAAAAGGACTTGAACATGTGGCTTTCCCAGAAAGGTGTTTTTAGCTGAAGCTCTAAAGCCAACAGGTACCCTGAGCGAGCATCCCCTATTTCAACAGAGAACCTTCCCCCTCTTAGCAGAAAAGCTACAATTATTTTTCTCTTTGTGTTTTTTTTCAAAGTGAGAGAAACAGTAGCAAAGATGTTAACTTTTTGCCCGATACTTTCAAAAATATAAATTCTTGGCTCGAAATATAAAATTGTTCGGTACATATTGTCAATTCGATTAATTCTTACTAAAAAGATTAGTATTCCATTAGCAAAGCCGAGTTCATTCACATCCTTTGTCATATTGCAACAGATTTAATTGATTTTGCATTTGCAGAGGGAAAATTCTAAAGATAAATAGTTTCATGACGTCACATCTCGGAACTCTGTTGTTGTGTGATGAATCCTTTGAGTTTGGCGCGGGACTTTGTCGATGAATCCATAGCTTTACACGTTGTGAAAATGAAAGCGGATTTCCTTAATGATATCAGGCCCTAAAGCGCTTGCGCACTTCCTTATAACGGGAGTCACCCTCTTACAAAAGGGCAAATTTTTTCCAGGAAGCCAAGGCGCTCTCAAGCGAGCAGCAATAGGACGGGGGTTTTAGCAAAGAAACCCCGATTCCAAATTCTACCCCGATGAACCCTGACAAAATTGTAGAAACTAACAGTAGTAAAGATCTAAAAATCTAAAGATCTAAAGCAGTCAATTTTTACTGACCCCTTGCCCCCAAGGGCTATAATCCCCGCCACTTTGCCTACATTACTTCCATACAATTCAAAACGGGCTTTTTTACATCAATAAAAATTCACAGAACAAATTTAAAATTTTCGCCCCGTAGGCCATAGAAAAACTGAAAAGATTATCGAGGGGCAATGCACTCTTGTAAAAAAAGTACGAGATTTTTATCAACACTAAAGATTTCATGGGAATTTCAGATAAAACACAACAATTGGTTCCCACCAAAGCTTTAAGAGATTTCCCTGGCGTGATTTACCCCTCAAAGATTACAACGAGAATACCACCGGGCGCAATATTCTATGACCACCTCACAAAATGACAGTAAGAAAATTAAAATCACGTTGGTAGCTTCCTAAGGGGAGTGGGGCCTTTTCATTAAACTAGGAACCAGGGTTGCACGGAGGCACAATACCCCACACCCTGGGTACCATAAACAAGAAAGTATAATTTTGTCATCTTGTTATTTTCAATGCGCTCCTAAGCCCCCCCCCTCCCTGCAAACAGCAATGCAAACATCAAGTCCGAGATTTCCGGGAAAACATTCTGTCCTCCTTATGAACTTTACTCATGAACCTCCTCTTGCGAAAGCAATCTTTGCTTTCCTCCTCGTGTTTCATCGAATCAAATTTGTGCAATTGGCTGATTTTTTTGAGTCGCTGATTTCGTTTCAGGATCTTTCACTTGTGCAGCAGGGTAAGTTAAGTATGAGCCCTTTGCAATAATCTTACCTAGGGTAGGGGAAGGGGGGTCGTCTCTAGCACCCTTATGGCCTGGTCTTCCCGCAGGTATGGACAATTTTAAATTATTATTTGCAAGATCGGTGGAACCATACGAGTTAATGTCGCCATTTCGAACAATGATGATTTGCTAGGCCTTTGCTTTTACTTTTCATACCAGAAATGATAACCCTTTGGTATAAGTTGCCTAATGAATTGTTCTTTGGCTGTCAAGGATTCCAGGAGTTTTTGTGAAGGTGAAATAGAAAAAAATCATAGATCTAAGTGATAAAATTTGAAACTAACAGCAAATGTCAAAAATATTTTTGCACAAAGTTTGTACGCTAGTACTACGGCAACATTATCACCTATATGGGATCCAGCATACAGGGTTATACATAAAAGTGATTCCCAAAATCACAATCTCTGCTGAATTTGCTGTGCGGAAATGCTGTTCAGCGGGTAGACACCTCACGCTCAGCGCCAAGTTGTTAGTAGGCACCTTTGAACAAAACACCCTTTTACAAGATGCTAACAATTTTTTGAACTAGTTTTTGTCATCCTGCGAGTTGATAGTTGGGAGGGAGGGGGGAGCATGCCATGTCAAGCTATATCGAAGTAATCAAAATGTTACACCTCTTTGCTAGGACTTTGAAGATGATTGGTTTCCAAGTTGTCCAATAAGTTTTACATCAATTTCATATGACATATGGCATCAGTTGATAAAAGCCTCAACCCCTGGTGATATCACCCCTGAACTTAATTTTTATTTGTTTTATTCTCTAAACAGTAACTGGAAATTCAATCAATCTGAGGTAGGCCTAAATCAATGTATAATATTTTCGAAGATAACAACGAATTTTACTATAATCATTATTGATAACATACATTTGTCTTTACCTTTAGAAAAGTTTAGGAACACATAAAAGACAATTGTGGGTCTGATTGGAAGCTATACGATGGTCCCTAATATAATATTGGGGAACAAGGTTGCATAGCTATTATAAGAACAACGAACCCTCAACAAGAATTTCTGAGGAAACATTAGCAAAAAACATAAAGGGGTTTTGGCATAAACAAATGGAGGAGGATCAGTTTATGTTTGAAATTTTGTCAGTTTCTAAAGGTTAAAGACTTTGTACTTTGCGCAATCGAAAAATGTCTGTCGGAATTAAAACTAATCAATATTTTCCCAGAAACTGAAAATTTACGAAAAACATGCTTCGGTTTGAAAAAAGGTGAAGGCCACATTTGAGCCAGAATGATAATGACCATGGGTAAAAAGTTTCATTTTTCAGTGACAGTGATCCTTTTAGGGATCAGAGGTTTCGTCTTCCAGCTTTTTTGAGACCACAAAAAGTCGTTGAAGTGAATTGGTTTTCCCAGTCCAATTCACCTCATTGCAGGTTTCATGTTGATAGTACAACGCACCCCCGTCTTGTGTAGAGGCCTCCTTTCGCTGTAATCTGTACACGGTTGAATGAATTCGATCTAAACAAAGAGAGAAATCCAAAGGGCTACAAGAATTCACACAACGCGCCAAGAAGTAGACTAATATACAGTCGATCGGTTGTTTTGGTCGAAAAATGACCCAACGTATGCAACAAGTATAATCTTAAACGTGTTTCAGGATAATGAGCTCAGAGGAAGAAAAGCTACATGAATTTTTATTGGAGATACAACTTGACCAATTTTATGATTCGATCGTGCGGAAGCTGCACGTTACAAGGGTTTCCCATTTCGAACATGTGGAGGACACAGACTTGATTGAGATCGGCATGTCAAAGCCTGAACAGAGGAGATTGTTTGGACATTTGAAGAAATCAAAAAGACAGTCTTTTAAATCGTTCTTTAAGGTTTGTGATTTCTAGTTTCTTTTAGCGTGACACACGTTTTGTTTAGCGTGCTACCCGCCATACCTTTACAAATGCCGATCATGCATGGCCAGGTTATTACCAAACCAAAAATATTCTTTTATTTTGGATAACAGTTGCCATGTATTTTCATTATGTTAAGATTTTTGTATTGTTTTTGCAATAATACTAAGAAGCTTCAGTTTCGATAGGCCAAGCCTTCGAAAATCATAGAATACGTCGATTGTTTACGTTGCGTAGTAGAAACCTGCTAATGAATGAAATATTTTGAATGCATGTCGACAAGGCCTAGTAACGCCACCTCATATCTACAGTAACTGGTATCAGAAATTTTTTTAGTGCGTAATCGCTGATTTTTTGCGCAATCTTAATAGTTTTGTACGACGTCTACGATTTTACAGTCTGTACTAAATCGGTACCGTAATCCTTTTCGTATGACTCGAAAATATATTCACATGATGGAATTAAATTATAAACAGGATATGGAAATCATATCTCATCCGCAACGTGTTTAAACCGTGTTCCAAATAAACAAATCTGCATTGTGTAATTTTAAACTCTAATTATTTGATTCTATTATTATTGAATGAGTTCAGGCCACAAATGAATGATGGATTTAGCAAGTTGTATTCCTTCTTAAATTAGTTGTTAAATTGTTATTGTCAACAGACAGGTCATAGGTGTGATTCAGTTTCAGTTCAGATTATTCATCAATTAGTCCCAAATACAATTGCAAATTATGATAACTGATTTTGCATACTGTTTGTATTTACAGTTAATTTCCTTTTTCATTCTTAGGGTTTATTTTATTATTTATGTATTAAGTCAAGTTCTAATAATCTAAAGTTTATACATTTACATACTGTATTAACCAGAAAATTTCATCATGACAAAATTTCGGACAAGTTTTGGACCTAAGAGGGGGCCAAGCAGCCAAAGTATCATTATAGTGGGTGCTTAATGGGGCTGTATATTTAGACAAATGGGATTATGGGTGAATTGTGAGTAGAGGAGAGGCCACAATAGCGAGCTGCTCGGCGGACTCCGTACTGGGCAAAATATTACCTATTACTGATTTCTGTGTTGTTGTTCATTCTTGTCACGTTGTTGTGTTACTTATTTACTACTATTAAATGGAATTATACTCATAAAAAATTGTACAACGCTGAATCTTAAAATATTTGAAATATGCTTTTATCTTTGCTGCAAGTAAATTAAGAATTTCATTAAACAATTCAGCTGGTTTGAAGATTTTTGATAAAAAGCATATCAAAGCTCTGGACTAATTTTTTCAGAGCTTGTCGTTTGTAAACCCAGCTGCACACAGAAAATGACTCAGCTTCAGCATAGGACAGATTTAGTGTTGTCTTATGCATTATATATTGGCATTATGCTCTCCTGTCCAGCAGTTCAAAATGATTCACGCTGTTGCCCAGTTGTTGGTTTATTGTCTATTTTGAATCAAAATCATTTTATTAGAAATTAAAATGACAAGTGTCCTTTCCTATATGTAATGGTGTCATAAAGCTATGGGTTTCTATGGCAAATATATTTACTTATAATCTCGAGGAGTAAATTCATGTTGGCTAAAGTATTTGGTCAAAAGCCACCAGTTTGCTCACCTTTCAAAGGTTTCTTGGTGATACTATAGAGAATTCACCATCCCAGTACCCAAACCAAAATTTTACAATTAGCTGCCAGAGCCTGTGTCCAAAAATCAATATTTTTGTTTGGTTTTTTTACTTTGCTGCCAACTTCCTCTCTGGGCTCTAGAAATAAGGTACAAATTTAGCAAAAATATTGCTCCAATTATGCATAATATTTTCTCTATCATATACATTCTGTTAAATCACTGCATTATATTGAACCCATTTGAAAACAGCCATGCATAAACATTTTTCTTTCTTGCATTTTTAGAAGTCTATCAAAAAAGATTCTGAAAAAGGGAGACAGTCAGCTTCACCTCCTAAAGATCTGAACATAGAATGCCAACAACCATTAGATGGTAACAATCCACTTTTGGTTGCTCGCAACAACATACAGCAAGGCCTTAAATGTTTGATACAACAGAAAGACCTTGTCTTAGGAGATTTCCTTGGGAAAGGAGCATTTGGTTATGTGAAAAAAGGTGTTTGGACATCAGACAAAGGTTTAAAGGTAAATGATGCTGTAACCTATTTCACTCATTTGCTATAGCATCTGTGTTGTTGTTAATTTTTTGCAAGGCTGCAAATGTGTTCAGACAGGAACAGGAAATTATAGCTAAATGTTAGTATTGAAAAGCATTGAAGTTTATAGAAATTGTCATCATACCACCTATTAATAAGATTTAACAGGCCATGACACTCTTAGTTAATAAATACCAGGGTTTACCACATGCCCTGAACTGCTATATTTATGTATTACTATTAAAAACCATATTTCTATTTCCAGAAGGCTTTACACTTCCATTTCCAAAAAATCAAACTTGCACCATCTTAACTGTATTTGATTAATTGTGTCTCACAGTTTGTATATGAAAGTAAGTAGGTTGAACACTTTTGCATAGATTTTCCAATTTTGGTTCAGAGACTTGCCATTTTTGTTTCTGCCCATATCCTATATTGGTTTTGAAGTACCCTTGATTGGGTTTGTGGGTGTTTATAAAGCTGGTTTGTCTTGGAATCAGGAATTACTTTTTGCTAAATCAATTTTCTTATCACCTTATTCAGGTAAATGTTGCAGTAAAATGTCTTAAGCCAAATCATGATGAAGCCACTGTTCTGCTACAAGGTGAATTCATCAAGGAAGCAAATGCCATGAGTAAACTTGACCACCCTAACCTCATAAGGCTGTATGGAATTGTCCTCACTACACCAATGATGCTGGTATGTTTACTGTTGCCTACAAACTTTTCAAAAATGATGAAATTCTTTCTTGGATTACACCTTGATATAGTACAAGTGGTTGCTTGTATTTGAGGGGAAAATTTTTTGTCTTCCCATGTACATTTTTCCTGATAAGAGTCCTTACTGCTTGTGAAAGTATTTCCCTTCCATTGGTGAAAGAATATATTTTATAAACCCTTAATGTACTCATAAGGTGTTGGTCAAATCCAGGTGTAATGAATAAATGTTTGGCATTTCTTTTAAAGTCTGTAGCAATGAATGAATGAATGAATGAATGAATGAATGAATGAATGAATGCTTCCTTCTTACAACTTATTTAAGTTGATAGTGCAAATCATGATCATCAATTGTTATTCTTTAGGAGTTCTTCTGGAGTTTCTAAGAGCATTGGGCATAAAAATAATACATTTTACCCTTAATTACCCCCATTTTGCACTTTAGAATCAGTGGTGGACACTTAGTCAAATATTGATGCAGAGGGAGGGGGGCAAGTCTATTGTTTTGATAAGATGATGTCACATTTTCACATTGCCTTAGATCAAAAGATTATTGTCCTCCAAAATATCGACTGCCTCACCTCACCCCCCCCCCCTGGTGTCTGTCACTGTTTAGATTGTATGATATGGTCATCAAGCAGCTGAAGATATATTTGGTATTGGGTCAAAATAATTTAATCAAATTCGCAGAGAGTACATTCTCCTTCCTTCTTGAAACAAATTAAAGATGTCATCTGTTTCTTATTACAGAAATGCCCTTTCCCTTATCATGAAATGTTGAAATTTGGGTTGAGGGTAAAAAATAAAGCATGCAAGCCCACCTTTAAATCATTCCTTAGTCTTAAGCCCAAATTATGAAAACCTGGGATTCTGGAGGGGCCTTTGAAAGCAGGGAATGAGGGCCTTCAATGATTACATGCATTGAGTTATCCTGCTCTTCAATCTGAGTACACTGATATATTTTAGACTCAGTACTATTCAGTGGCAGAGTCATGACCCCCCTCCCCCCCCCCACTTTTCAGAAAGCTGGTCCTTTTGATTCTCTGAGAACTCTTTAGAGCTCTTTATAACTCTATAGCGTCCATTGCCAACGGTAAATTAAATTACATTTCTTGGGAGACATGGGTTGTTGTGTTTCCTACAAGAGAAAATGGTTGCCATGGGAATAAGGGCGTGGTCAAAAGGCGTGGTACCGGACCCCTTTAACCCGGGCTAGAGCCGGTACTGGTAATGTTCTCCAAAGCCTCTGATGCAAAGCTGCATTTCTCAATTGTTTCAACTATTACCGTATCATATGAGTCAAATACGGTAGTGATAGAAGCTATCTACAGTATTCATTATTAAAATAGTAGTTTATCCAGAGACCAGTTTATCCTGAGGTGTATTGCGTGACTCTATGTGAAATAGAAACCGCATTGAATGCCTTGTTTGAGTTAATTGTTAATATTGATTTTTAGCCATAAAGTGCTATTTAATATCATTAACAGGAAGAGAATTTAAACGTGTATTAATGGCCTAAGCAAAAGTAGATAAGAGAAGACCCAAGCTCTAATTAAGATATCTTTTAGCATTTCTATCTTGTGTACACGATAATTAAAACGATCAAAACTGATTAAGGTTGACTAGTTTCGGCTTTTGTTTTTGTACTAGTTCCGTGTTTACTTCTATTTCCTCGTTCTTTAGAAGTTATTTGTCTAATGCAGGTCAGTCTCAGTCAGCATTCGACAGATACGAAAGGGTTCAAGCCGTCTTTCAATCAAGAATTGACCAATCAGCAAGTGTGATTTCAGTCACACACTTCTTGATTGGCTAATATTGATTGGCAGATGGCTTAAAGGCAATCTGTCTCGTGTGGATTGGCTAACGAGAACAATAGCTGGAACAATAGCCTAAACACGATTCCAGCGCTCCGCCATATTTTTTTCAATGCGATAAATTAAAGGGGGACTGGAAATAATGAAAATCTTTTTGTTCTTATAACCAATCAACGTCGTGACAGATTGCCTTTAAGCCAAGTATATTTCTATCTGTCAATTGCATTATCCTAGCCCACTAATATGCATTATCAAATTGCTATCCAATCCTTATCTTAATCAAATTTTGGATTTCGTAATCTTTGATCTCATGAGATCGGATTCGAGACATGTTTTTAAGTTCATTTTGGTTTGTTGAATTCTAGGTTACAGAACTTGCACCAGTTGGATCTCTTCTTGCCCGGTTGAGAAAAGAGCCTGAGAAATTCATGATCTCAATCCTGTGCAGTTTCGTTGTGCAAATCGTTTCTGGGATGAAGTATCTCGAAGAGAACCGATTCATTCATCGCGATTTAGCCGCAAGGAATATTCTGTTGGTTTCCTACGAAAAGGTGAGATCGAATCCGAGGCTTTTCTTACCTGGGAAGATCTTGTTCTGAACGAATTTTTTCCAATGAGTTTCCTTATGGTGTTCTGTCTCGAGATTTACTGGCCATTACTTTCTTGTTGATTGATCTTTAGTATTCCTACGTTTCAAGTTAGTTTCTTCCTCTAAAAAGCGAGAATATAAGGCTTAGGGAACCTGTGCTTTGATACGAAGTCACATTATTTGAGTATACTGAACCTTTTTGTCTGACACTCTTCAGAGTATAAAACATCAGAACATAGAACGAAAACTCTACGCTAGTTGTTTACGCTACAAAATATCTATACTCAGTTGTTTATTGATACCAAACTGTTTTAAATTCTCTCATTTTCTTATATCAAATCTGTGTGGTGCAGAATCTAATTTCAATATGGTGTCGACCAAATGATTAAACTTTTTAGCATGAATAAATCGATTTTTTAGCATAGATATATAATTGAGCTATATATAGGTCTTTTGAAATATATTTTTATTGCGTGTTTTTTATCTTAAGTTAAGGAGAAGTTATAAATATGTTTGCCCTTCAGATATCTGTGGCGTTAACATTAAAAAAATTCTTCTAGCAAGTTTTTCAGTGCTGCAGTTTGTTACCCAGGAGTCTTTCTTGTATCTTCACCACAAAGAAATCTTACGAATTCTAAGAACTGAGAAATTGTGTTTGATTCATCTTTTTATGTGTCATGTCTTAGTAAACGGTGATTATCTGTCATATGTTATGTGTCAGATCTGTCTGCTGACTTGTCCTTTTGTTGACATTTTCTGTCTTTTCTGCCAGATAAAGATCGGTGACTTTGGCCTGATGCGTGCTCTGCCTTCTGATGCAGACTACTATGTCATGCACCCCAAAGGACTTGTCCCCTTTGCTTGGTAAGTTCCCTGATTCGTCTGTTCCCTATCATTAATGATTTCTTTGGTTTTCTGAGCACTGGAGATACAACCCGAAGTAACTTATTGCTGCATTTTAAAGAATAAGAAGAGTTTCATTTGTCTTCATGTTCATACATAGCAGATTATTATGTATTTATTCAAGGCTTTGTTTTGCTTATACTAGTTTGGTACCAAACGCTAATATCCCTGTTTAAGGTTTTATTTCTGTAATTTGGAAATGACAGACCCTACAAACCAATTGATATTTAGGCCAAGCTAAAGCATCATTCAGCAGGTCCTCATCCTGTGTCTTTGTTTATTTTTGTTTATTTTATAACACATATGAAAAAGTAGACATTCTGTTGCCCATGACAAGCGCTCTAACTTATAAGCACTTCCATTTGTACATATCATATGGGGATCTCACCTTAATTTCTATTTCGACATAGATTATCAAGTACCTTCCAGACTCAAGCAAATGACACCAATCATTTCTACATCGTCTCGTCCTAGGCTAAAATGTTTCCCTTCTTTATTGTAGGTGTGCAACAGAATGCCTCAAATACCGGAGGTTTTCTCATGCTAGTGATGTCTGGGCCTTCGGGGTTACCTTGATAGAGCTTTTTTCATATGGACAAGAGCCATGGCCAGGACTCAATGGAGCAGAGGTATGTAATCTTTGTTGACATTGCTTTTACGTTTAATGTCATGACTGTTCTTACAAGGGTTCCGAAGCAAAGTTGAAAATGGGGGGATGGGGGAGCCAAGGGCAAATTATAGAGCCATAACAAGTGAATTTCCAAAAACGCTCTGTTATTTTGCAAAAAATGTAGAGGAGGGAAGGCTCGGCAGAAGCCCTGTGTTACAAGTGAACATTCTTTTTTCAAATTTTTTATTTTTGAGGTTTTCTAACCGAATTCCGCTTTTGTGATAGCAATTACTTCAACTCAAATGAAATCTGGTTCTCCATCGTAGATCCTTGAGAGAATCGATGCACCGAATTTCCTTCGGCCTGAAAGACCAGATCATTGTCCTATCGAAATATATAGAATCACGAAAAGTCATTGTTGGTGTGACAATGCAGAAGAACGGGCAAGCTTTGAGGCATTGGAAAAGATGTTCCTACAGGTTTGCTATCCCATTTTTAACTTTCTTCTGTTCTATTATCAAAAGCATGGATTTAATTACAAGGTGCAGCTTGTATACTCTCTGATGGATACTTCAAGCTTTTTGATGAAGGCAATGGTCTTCTTTTTGCAGTCACTTGTAGAAAACACAAACTATGTACTATATTTTTTGCAAATTGCAGGTTCTACCAAAGGAAACTCGCGCAACCTTTGATCACCATACTGATGTTCCTAGCCAGATCTCATTTCAAAACGGTGATTTACTGACGATTATCGAGTCAAGGTATTCTTCTATCATTAGATCATATTCTGTGAATAGAGACATGAAACTCTTAGCTTGCTCTTTCACCCCAATTTTCTCTAAGTACCAAAACGCCTCATGACTGAACTTCCCATTTCTTTGTTGTCAATTACCCACAGCGAAGTTGTTGTTTTTGTCTAAAACATTCCTCAAGTGAGTGACTAAACCTAGCCAAACCTAACGCTTGCTGTATTTTTTGTAGCCATGGTGGTTCATTTGTTAAAGCCCAGAACCGTAAAAATGGCAGAGTTGGTTACATTCCCGTCGATCTATTTTCTAGTTCATCCACAGGTGAGGTCTTCTTCATGATATCACAATCTTCGTTTTTGAAGCTTATTGTGACTGATCGAAAATGTTTTTGCCTAAGGTCTTATTCTGAAGACGTTATTTAGTTTGCTTTAGCAGATAAACATTTGCAGCAATCGTGGCTGTTTTTGCTTTAACTGTCGTGATTACATTTAAAGTCTTTTTTAGTCGTTTACTCTTACAACACGCCTGTGAGATTTTGCTGCTTCGTTTCTTGTGTGTTGAGTATATATGATCTTCTCTAGTAGACCTTTCTTTTAGCATCTGGAATGCTGTAAACTAAAAATCACTATCTAGGAAACGAAGCGTTTTTAATTTGCAAATAATTTTTTAACTGCTTCATAACTATTTCCAATTGATGTCGTCATTTTCCAGGCAACAAAATGGCAGATATTCTTCCAAATACACGTCATCGAAGGTAATTGATTTTTAGACTTCATCTTATTGTGTGAAAGATACCTATTCTGAAACTTCAGTTAATTTTTCAATGAATTGGCTTTAGTTTATGACAGAGACTCCAGACGTATTTATATGACTGTTTCTTGTACATGCTGGCTGTTCTTGTAGACTTTAAATCTCGGTCTTGCTCTTACCTAATCACGATAAAAATTTGTTTTTCTTCAGTCTCTCTAAAAGCAAATCTGGAAAAGAGACACTTTCAGTAAGAGGCCGACTACTAGAACCAGGTAATAATCTTTTCTAATCAAAATACTTCCTTAGTCAACACACTCCCACTCTTTGCTTCGCTCTTCGTATTGATCTGACGATCCTGAATTCATAATTAATGAAAATTGGTTTAAAGAAAAAGAACGCACGAGTTAAAGAAGAAGAGAATTAAAGTGGTATATAAATAGCTTTAGATTTGCTGGTGTTTTTAGATATTGTGCGAAATACTATTTCCCTGGTAATGTTTTCTCATATAAGCTTACCTTGAGTCGTTTTCATGATGAATGCTTATTTCCTATACGGGGTTCAAAATTGAACACTATTGGTGGAGTAAATCTGAAAATATGACAAGGGCTTTGCTGTTGTGGTAGTGGCAATTTTGTCCAAAAAAGGATTAAAGTATACCTATGTAGAATGTTTTTAAATGTATATCCATGTTTATGAAAATCCGATAAAGAACCTGCAGCCAATTACGTTAAAGCTGCTGAGACGGTAGAAGCTGTCAAAATAACGCTCAAAAATTGGGGGGGGGGGGGGGGGGGGTGAAAAGAAGATCAGTTATTCCAACCTTCATGGTGCGAGGATGGCGCGGTGGTTAGGGTTGCTGACTAGACATCCAAGGGTCCGTGGTTCGAGTTCCTACTCTGACTAAACATTCCCTCAGAGTGAGAAGAGTCGCCTGTTCTTTATAATCCCAGGCGTGGGAATCACGAGATGCGGTCACATAAAAAGGAAGGACCAGGACACTGCTCGATAAGCAATGGCATTTCAGTGTCCTAAAATTACCTTCTAAAACTAGCTTGCAAACAATACAGCAATACAGTACAACAAACTTTCAAGACTGTTAATCCTTAAATGTCCAAAAACAACCCTTGAATAGCAGTCTGTATTTAAAGCTATTTATGGGTCTTATTAGTTAAGATTTATATTTGATATTTCTTTGTTTTTTCCAGTAAATTGTACTTTAGTTTGTCGATATAAATTGGTGGAGATCCTAACTTTGCTTTATAAAATCTCTTACTGATGACATTATGCATGGTATGATATTTCTCAGATTCTTTCTGAGAAATCATTTTTCTCATTTTACTCATTTTTTTCAGATTCTTTCTCGGTTGCAAGTCGTGGCAGCTCAAGCAGCTCAGGAAGTAACTCTAGTTCCGAAGTGACACCAGCGAAACACCTACACAATGTGATTCATAGTAAACCAAAGGATATCCCGTTTAAACGCCAAAGCACGTTTTCGTCCGGTGTCGGATCAAGTGGACCCTCATGTGCCAGTAGCTATAAGGATGAGTCGGCGGTACGTGGTGTTAGTGAATCCGACTACGGTTCGCAAGAGGATTCTTCCTCGCTCTTTTCAAGGCGGTCGGAAACTCGTAACAGCGTTGACGATAAATCTATCGGTTCATATGCAAATACGACTGTGATGAGAGGGGAATCTATTCCGTATGAAAACGTCGTCTTGGAAAGCGGCTCCCCTCCAGTCATTCATTCCCGCCCTATTTCGATTCCGAACCGCGAAATTGATAGGCCAAGTACGTCTGGGGTTTCTCGTATGTCTTCACATCCTGTCAATGAGTTTCCAACAATGACTTGTGCAGCTCAGATGTTGTCTTTGCCATGCCATACTTACGAAGCAGACGCTTCTTCTAACGATTCAGCCCTTTCCGCTGAAACTGCTCTTAGTGGCGTACTTTCAAGCTCCGCTCCTACCACAAGAAACGAGATGAAAGTAATCCGGTCAACTCTACGAAAACAAAAAAGCGAAGTTGAAGACGAATTTTCGCGCAAATCATCATTTGGGTCGTACAAGCAACGAAAATCGGTGACGCGAGGAGAGGGTATATCGAGTCAATTTGCAGATAACCTTATTTATGAGTATATGAAGCCGGATGATACTGCGGAGGAACAATACGAAACTATGGGGGAGAGTTCTGCCGCCTTTGATTCTGGTAACATTGAACATGATGCGTATGAGAATTTTGAGGTGCGCCATATAAAATCAACGTCTATCAATAATCAGTCTCGTGAATTATGCTACGAAAACCTGCCTCTTCGACAACAGACTGCAGAAATCGACATTAGGCCAATTTTACCTAAAAAAACCTATCGGTCGCTGGACAGTAGCGCCCCCGTTCCACCAAGGACTTATCGCCGCACGGTGGAGAGTGTGGTAACTCGGAGATTAAGTAATATAAGAAAGGAATCCTACGAAAATACACCAATTACGATTCCGGAAAGAACTTATCGTAAAGACAGCGGGGCTGTGCCAACAGTTGTCCTACCTCCAAGAACGTACAAGCAAGGGTCTGTCGAGCAGTATGAAAATACTGATTTTTCTCAAACCTGCCGGTCATCGGCCTCTTCTTCCTATGAAAATCCCGATTTCAGCCGCAGCAGTATAACTGCGACATCCGATTCTTCGTATGAAAACTACGATTTAAACGCACTTTTTAGGACTTCGCCAGATACAAGTTACGAAAATTACGACATTCGCGCGTCTCTTGATACTCCGCCGCCTTTGCCGAAGAAGAAGTCGAGTCGAACGGAAAGCGAGTGCTCTTCGTCGGTTGATGACGGGGACATGCGAGCTTCAAGTCGAATTGGCGTCGAAGAAGCGATTGTTGAGTTAGCTAATACCGAATTTGATAAAGATAGCAACGAGTGTAGTGCTTCACGAACAGTGCAAGTCCAGACTGAAGTCTGTGATTCGCAGAATTGTAACTTAATCGATGATTCACCTATTCATAAAAAGTTGCAAAACAAATATGTCACTATTTGGGATGGACAGGAACATACCAAGGAGGATGACGACAATAGTGGTAGGTTTTGACATGTCTTTGTTTTGTTTTTATTGTTATTTTTTATCTTCATTGCTGACATCTATTATTTATATATATTCCCACAGTTGAGTACAAAAGATGATCAGGGTGTCCCAAAACATGCTTTGGCGGGCATTGTAGTTTCAAGAGTTATGACGTTTTTCTTCGCCATATTTGAATGAGGTTCTGATTCCTTGCGTTGCTTTGTTTATTTCACTAGTCCTATTTCACTACGATGGTGATAATAATGATCATACCATTCGGTATTTGCCATTAACTAATGATGAATTTAACGGTCAAACGACGCATGAATGATGGCCTGCACGAAGGCAAATGAATGGTAGCTGCCACGAATTTTCCCGATATCAGATTGCTTTTAAGATTTTAGAAGGTTGCTTGTCTGTATAAAGTTGTTTCTTATAAGGGCACAGGTACTGAAGGCCGGTTTTTAGCGTAATGAAGCTCTTTTGATGCTAAGCGCACAAATAAGCGTAAGGTATGAAACACAATCCCAGATCTTAGAACCTAAATCTATGGAAGACGGTCCCACCAGGGAGTTTTGTTGATATTCAGACAAAAAGAAGATCATGAAAACTTTTTTATTTTTATGTTTGTTTGATAGTGAATTTTTATCACTTCAAAAGCGTGATCGAATTAGTGATTGCAAGTGTGATTGCAAGTGTGATTGCAACAGTGATTGCAAGTGTGATTGCAACAGTGATTGCAAGTGTGATTGCAACAGTGATTGCAAGTTGCAACAGTGTTTGAGACGTTAACTGTAGTCAACACTTTCTCGGTTCAATTTAGATCTTTCATTTCCAGAGCCCATTAAATCTTCCAATAACGAGGTAGCTACTGCTGAACTTGTTCCGGTCAGTGAAAGACATGGCTCGGGCCAGAACCAGGACTGCCAAGAAGCAGAAAAGAATCGGAGTTTGTTGAATGCCCTTCTTAGTCCGCAAAGACAAAGAAGCCCAAAGTTTGGCCGAGCGCAGAGCGAAGACACTCCCGTTCCGCCACCACGAAAGAACCGGGAGAAGTCGGCACGAAGGCATACAACAGGTGCACTGTCGGTGGCAAAGGAGCAGAAGACTGCAGAAAAGCTGCAGGATGAAGATTCTGAATCAGAGCTGTACGATTCTACTTTGAGCAACGATACAAACACTGCTGAATCAACAGTTGGTTCGCCTTGCTCAATAGAAGAAAATCCTGAAGCTCCTCCTCTGCCACCAAGGATTCCGTCTGAAATGCAGCTTCAGCGTGAGGACTCGGATTATGTTAACATCGATGTAGAAGATGTGATCGGGATTGAGACTGATGAGACTGAACCTGATAGATCTACTGAAGACCAGCAGAAACCTGACGAAAGTGGAGTTGTTTATGAATGTGCTTCAACAATAAGCAATGATCTGACGTCTGACTTAGGTGCTTCGACTTCTGACAAAAATGATTTGATTGAAAAGGAAAAAGTTGGTCCGACCAAACCAAGCACTGGAAAAACAAAGCTACAGAGGATCAAAAGTCTTCTTTCTGGAAAGGTGAGGTGTTTTCCTGGACCATGATAAATATTTCCGCAGAAGGAACATAGGCTTTCTGTTATACGTTTTTGTTTCATCATTTGGTTGTTAATAGGTTTGAGATTTGACTAACTAAGTGACTCACTAATTGATTGAGTTATTGCTTATCATATCATGTGATTTAGCCAATACTAATTGACAGGCTATGTTATTTAAAACATTGCTAATTGACCAAAGAGAGCTTGTTTTTCACAATCATTATTCATTTTTTTATTCATTTTTAAACTCATTTAATCACGCGATTTTGCTAATCAGTACAATAAAGACCGGATTTTCAAATTTGGGGGCTCTTGACTTTCCTTGCTGTGTGTCCCACTGCCATCTTATTAAACACATTAGCAACTATAAAAACAGCCTTTCTTGCAATTTTGTGTAGAGATCTAGAACAGCTTATCAGCATATCTATCCTGGAATGGTCTGCTTGGAAATTTTAATTTTTTTCATCACTTCAAAGGTCTCGACGCAAGATGATAGCAAAACTCGGTCAGGTGCCTTATCTTCAAGTCAGTGTGGAAGCGAGGCGTCTACAATTAACACCAATAGTGAAGATGATGACGATGAAGAAAAGATGAGATATGTTCTGCATTTTGTAACTCCAGTTTGAACCAGTGGACCTCCAAAAGGTGACTTGGGAAACCATCTTGCTGAGGTCCGTCCTGCAGAGCAAGTTTATCTAAAAGATATAAATACAGTTAGGCAGTAAAAATGATGTTCAAATCTTTTTTGTCAAGTGTGAAACACTAGATAGAATTTTGAATTATGGATTATGGCCCTAATAAGCCATAAATTAAGATATTACAATCTATTATTACGAAGTGTGTGTGGACCATAAAAATAAATAAATTTGGATGGAAAACATATTGTTACTTGTCATTTTATTTTATATTACATTTCCATTAGTAAAATATCGATGACTTTGATGTATTATTCATCTTCACAAAATTTAGTATTGCTATGTTTACAGGTAATTCTTATTGTTTTAGAGTTTTATCCACTCTGCAGATTTCAAATTTTTAACTTTTAAAACTCTGTTTTAAACTTCCTGTTTTAAGTTCATTCAAACTTCAAATATTGAAACAATATAAGATGAAAATAGGAATGTTTCATTTTTTCATTCAATTTGTTAATAACTTCATTTGATTCGCCCTAGATTTAAAGTTCAATTTTTTCAAAATACAAATCTTGGTTTGAAGTTTATGTTCCCCGTCTGTAATTCAATCTTCAATTATTGAAACAATATAAGATGAAAATAGGAATATTTCCTTTTTTGCATTTAATTTGTTAATAACTTCATTTGATTCGCCCTAGATTTGCAGTTATATTTTTTCAAAATACAAGTCTTGGTTTGAAGTTAATGTTCCCCGTCTGCGATCTTCTACTTCTTGTTTAGTTGCTTTGGATAACGTTGTAAATAAAGCATAGTTTTTCTTTCGTTACCTTTAAAATGCCGTCTTGAAATGCAATGCGAATATTCAAATGTTTTATAGCATCTGATAAGTGTATAGGAAATATTTTTTATTTTAAAGGAGATTATTGAACTTGTAATTGATTGTGCACCAATATTGTTTAGAAGTTAATTGTATGTGCATATCATATTTGAAACGTATTTAGAGTAAATAATGTTATTATTTTTGTAGGTATTTGAATGCTATGCAATTATTTTATTTTCTTATGATTTTGCACTTTTGTTAGACGCACACACATTCGACTAAACCACGTGCATTGTCCTCAATTTGCCACATGGTATGCCTTACCATTCTATATAGAACACATCACCTGAGCAGACAATTCCAAACGACATATTTTCAGATGTGATCGTTGCCCTTGGACAAAAGCCCTATGCATTTCATCCAACAACAGCAAAAAGTGTTTCCAAAAATGATTGAAGAGATTTTACAATTAATTTTAAACATAATTTATTATTTAATTTTTTATTGCCTATTAATTTGTCTGAGCACTGTATAGCAATAGTTGTATCAAAGGTAGAGTTTGCAGTTTTGAATGATATGAATAATTCTGTATGATCGTAAGCTTATAATTTTCAATTTCGTTAATCACTGGAATAATCACAGAGTTTGTTGTTGGCATTATCTTAAAATACAATGTCGGTTATGTGAACAATCGTTGTGTTTTCGATGATATTAGGAACAAAATTACAGTCTGTTATCTTTCATGTACTCTTCATACACTGTTGTGCAGGACCCTTTTCAACGTACTTTCAACGTTCTAGCTTGAGGGAAGGGGAGGGGGGCAATTGCTCTTTAGTCTCTGCGGCCATCTGTTGTTTAAAATAATGTATTATTGTCCTCCCATCTATAGAAACTTTCCCACAAAGCCGATTTCCCTTTCGAAAAAGCAATTCTGTTGTTTTTTACCACCTAAAAGCTGTTTAAGATAGAAAAAGGAACTCAAGATCGTATTCCTTACGAGCATTTAAGTAGAATATCATCAGGCTGCCGAGGTTGATAAATAAATAAATGTACAAAGAATTTGTAAAAAGAGAAGGAAACAAATAAACTCGATTGAGAGCATTTGGGCATTTGTTGGGACTGCCACTGCAGATGCCTTGCCAGCAGCTACGGATTGGTATTACTTGGACGTGTAGATAATGCTAAGAAATACAGAGAAAACTAGAGAAGGACGTTGCCAGTAATATTACACAATGATATTGTCGAAGGGGTCTGTATACATGATTTAGAAATAAAACATTTTGAAATTATTGAAGATTTGGCCAAATTAGAGAGTATAGCAGCAGAGACAAATTGAAAGAACTCTCTGAAACAATTTCTTGCATTGCATATGAGAAAATAAGTACATGCACTGCAAGCTGTATATGATCTACAATAAAAAACTACAGCAAATGAACGATGTTTATTATTGCTAACTTGCAAATACAGAAAATCCCGTAAGATACAAATGTAGGAGTACAAATGTTCTAAAAAAGAACAGACAGCTTTAACGGAGACCCTAAAATCTAATCGTGCAAACCTTTTATTTGGGAAAGGCAAAATAGCTTAAAATCAGTTTTCGACCTTCCTGTCTTCGGCTGTTGGGTTCCTGAGAATATGGCGGTTAAATGCTTATACTTGTAAATGAAGCAAAACTGGGATACAAATAAGATAGTTCATACAAAGCTTACTAACCAACGTCCAATTTTTTACTAGTTTTCCGTTTTTTATCAGTGGTGTAGTGTTATCAAAATAACAACAGGGGCTCTTGTACAAAATGTTGCGAGGAAAAATAGCAAAAGTAGAAAATTTACAATTATCGCCTTCAAAAAGGGGGTTCTTAGCCCCCCTGAGCTCCCCTAGCACTACACCCTTGGTTTTTATCTGCTGCAAATAGCGATCAGAAGCATCTTATATTTTGCGAACAAACTTCATCTCACAAACAATTCTGATCTCTTGTGGAAGAATATTCGTCACAAGCAGGGATTCAGCGAGGCTGCTGTCATAGTAACAGAAGATCAACCTTAACAATATGGCGGTCAAATTTACCTTTTGACTGATGCTGCAAGTGAGCAATCGCGAGTTTAAGTAAAAAGGCGCTTGAATAAAGAGAGAATATGTCAGAATTTTCCGACTTCGAAGATGAAGAAGGTGTTGAGGAGCCAGATATGGAAAATGAAGATGGAGAGGAGAAAGAAGAAGAGAATGTGGTAAGTTTTTAGGCCAGAGAATTGCACGCGCAGTTTTGGATTGAGTTGGTGTTTGCTTTTATTTTCCAAACGTACGCAAATTTATTGACATATGAAAGCAAAAATATTGTTTCTCTAGGAAACTTATTTATGAAAGCATCAGCATTAGGTTTCTAGAAATAATCTTTGTTGCATTTCGAGTGAGCCGGGTAAGAAAATTTCTACCTCTCACTAACAATACTGCTGGCGATTTGAAGTGCCAACCAAGGGTTTTTTACTGACTTGATCAAGTGGTGCTTTTCAAAAGAAATTTTTTTAAAGAGCATAGAACAAACAAGAAAGATAGAACCATTTCACCTCCCCAGCGAGAATTCCACCTCGATTGGATTGGGCTAGCAAAAATAGCAGCAGTCTAACTTCACTTTTCCTTGGGAAAAGTTTTTAATTCTGTCTCAGATTTTCTATCTTTCTTTTCCAAGTTTATTTCTATGCAGAAAGCTCGACACAACTTCAAATTTCCCAATTATGTGGGCAAAGATTTATCTTAAATATTTAAGAGTGGAGTGATAGTAAGATTTTTGAATCATTTAATGGATAAACTCTTCTCCCACAAGCATTTGAACGGTCGGGAAAAATTTTGGGCCTACTTTTTACAAACACCATGCTAGTAAACTGCCCTTTTATCTTGTGAGTATCCCCACCAAATATTGAAGTTATTCCATTGATAAAACAAATTATGGACTTAAGTTCAAAACTTTGTATAATTTTTACTTTTTTTATGATTGCCTGAAATCTTGAAGTGATTCCTATTATCATTTTGATAAATATAAGCAATTAACTTTTATTTTTGTTTTATCAACTTGACCTGGCACTGTCCCAACATTGGCTTCCGAATACTTTTGGGAGGGAAGTGTTTATGTCCCCTCTTCCCTAAAAGTAGCACTAATGTTTTTATTGCTCTTTATTGAAATTGATGGGAGCTCTATCGGAAAGTTTTTGAAAATCTTCATTGATCTTCTTGCTATAAAAGATTTAGACTCATAATGCAAATAATTTTCTTAGCTTAAATGTTAGTTTTAAATATATGATATTTATTAACTGTGAAATTTTTTTCATTTTTTAATTTGATTTTGCAGCAGATTTTACAGACTCTAACTGTTCAGTCTGTTCCATAACCAATCTCACCAATGGGTGTATAACATCGCTACCCAATGTTTATAAATTTTATATTTTCCTATAATATGTTTTTATATTTTTTACATTCAGTTTGCATAGACTAGAGTTTTTGGCAGGTAATGTCATTCAATCATGCTAATTTATCTTAAGCTATCTTAATACTTTAAAAATAGTAGCTTCAGAGATATTTATATCAGCCATTTCTTTGCATACATAGGAGCCAACTGATAATCCATTAACAAAGGAGGTTGTTGGAGATTGTCTGTCATTGATCTGTAAAACAGGAAATGGCCTTGCACATGCTTATGTGAGGCTTGATGTTCATGAAAGGTTTGGAATTCATTTAAAGTTAAAATGATTTTTAGCCTATTTCATATATGCCAGTTTGTTGTTTCTTTGCATATAAAAGTCAGATATCAGGGAAGTACAGCTCAAAGAAGGCTTAAACGTTGATGCTTAGATTTTTAGTTCATGCCTAGGGGTTGAATGTGCTTGGCAATTGTGATGTAGTTATTTGCATTATGATATAGGCTCATACTATTTTTGTTTCAGGACCTGCTTTGGGATAGTTTTAATTTTTGATAAAAACTTTCTGATGCTTATTGATGTTGTAAATCCTTACAAACTGGGCTAGGCTTGTAGACCTCACACATTCTCTATAGTTTGCAGGCATCCTGCAGCCATTGGGCTTGCAGGGGCTATGGCCCCCTCCCACTTCTTTGCAACAATAGGTTAGAAAATTTACTCTCTAATGCAACTTTTGAATGTTTACTCAGAGGGATCCTAAGAGGTAGCAGTTTTTCTTGACTGGGAACCCTTTTTCATTTCTGGTGTCATATCTTGTTAAATCTATTTTTATTAGCAAACGATTTCCTCTCTGAATCAGACAACTTATAAAAGCAAATTGGAAGAAGCAAGTATTTTCTAAAATGGGCATTCTCTGCATTCTAAAGATTGTGGACTAAAAAATTCTTGGTCACGCCCTTTTCAGCTCACCCACTTTTAAAATGTTGAACAGTGCCTAAAGTTTTAGTCAAAAATTAAACAGAAAAGGCTTTCAGTTGGTATATTTCTCTTTGATTCTATATTTCTTGATAGGGTAACCAGTTTTTGTTCTCTTGTGCAGTGAATACCAATGCCTTGTGCTACTTTAATTTACCACTGGCGATTATATATTTTAGTCATACAATATCTGTATCAATGTTTGTTTAGGGGTTTAACAGACATCAGCATACTGAATTGCTTCATCCATCTCAGATATGTGGTTTGTATTTTGCTGTTTTAGCATATTATAAACACAAAGTCCTGTTCTATGTATTTAATTTTTGTGTTTCTTATAGGAACCTCCCAATTTTAATAATAAATAAATGTCTTTGTTAATGGAAGAAGTCATTTCTTAGAGAATATTGTGCTTCCAACATTTGCTTAGCAGACTTCTTACCAGCCTTGCTAGTATATCACTAAGAATGTGACACTGAACATAAGTGTTATCCTACTTCAGTTTTTCTATTCAGACTGTGTTATCAATATTTTTATCTAGAAGTGCATCATTAAAGTGCCATTATTATTGTTTTGTTTGCATTTGCTCTTTAAAATGATATCTCTTAATAAGAGATTCAAAATTGTTACTAAATTTTATCATAGATTAATATATGTGTATGTTATTTGCTTATGAAATTTTAACAAGTATAACATATTTAATTTGCAGGATATCAGTGGAAACAAACTCAAAGAAATAACTGCATTGAATTCACTTACTCATTTATTAACCCTCAAGGCTGATAAAAATCTTCTCAGAAGTGGCAAAATGGAAGAGGTGGAAATTTTTGTAACATTTCATTCCTACCATCAATTGCTTTCTTTGATACTTCACAAAAATACTGAATGAACAATAATCTTAAAATAATTTTTAAATATCTTGTAAAATTTGAAAAATAAAATGACATTCTTTTTCCATTGTGTTGCATTTGAAAGTATTCAATTTAGCAAGGGTAGATTAATCACTTGGACTTTGACAGCACACAAATTAACGGTCTGGATAGAGCATCAATGACAAGTTGTTTTTGGTTCTTTCCAGATGCCATACCTACAAGTTGCAAGTTTTGCAAATAACAAAATAATGGATTCTGAAGGATTTGATCACCCACTGCTTGAGTCTTTAAACTTGAGAAGTAAGTATCTTTTACAAAACGAGAATGTTCTAACAAGAATTTTAAATAATAGTTAGGAAATTGCTTTTTTGCAGTAAATTAACATAATCTTGCAATTTTCATGAGGTAGTCATCTCCATTTTCATCACGGCGTTGTTTTTATTAAGATTAGGGGCTTCCTTGAAGGGTCTGTGGAGGGAAAGTGCACACTAGTATCATCCTAGTATCATCCAAAGACTTTTATTCACAGTTGTTTGGGGAGCTAAATTTTTACTGATGAACAAACATTAAGGTCATAGTGCAGTAAACATGAGCCTCTTCTTAAACCTTACTTAACCATATCGTAATGAGACAAACCTTTCTGTTAGAATTCTGACGTTACTAGAATTTATTTTAGGTTTTCCGAGTTTGGGTCAAATAACACTAAAAATGGAATACTTCTGTATATGCGAACGAAGGTGTTAGGTAAATGTGTGACAAATTGGCTGAGATTTGCTCAAAGGCTCTTTCCCCATCAAATCACTGTTATCTTGTCTCTTCATAGTTTTAAGAACCGTGCGAACTTCAAACATTTGTTGGCCACATCTCAACCAATTTTTAGCAGATTTAACTATTTTACAGAATTAGTCAAAATATTATTTATGGCGTCACTTTTAAGAACTATTTAGTTAAGTCAGCCTAACTAACCAGAAATTGTTAAGACCTCGTTAATCTTTCTTTTACCTGCCAATATCCATGATAGACGTAAATACTAAAAACCGTCGTTTTACTTTATAGATAATGACATAATCGAAGTGACTGGGCTTAACCCAAAGCGACTAGCGCGGTTGAAAACTTTAGAACTTCGAAGCAACAAGCTGATCAGCACAAAAGGAATTGAACTGCCAAACCTAACAAGACTATACTTGGTAACACCTTTTTTGCCATAATCATTAAAAATATATTTTTAAAAAATATTTCAAGATGGTGTGAATTTATTGTTGTATGCTCAGAATTCCAAAAATGTAGCATGCAAGGTTTATTTTTGGATCATAATTCTTTTCTCTTTACTTCGCATTAATCACGGAGCAGTGTCACCAGCGTTTTCATGGAGAATGTGAACGCTGTTACAAAAAAGTTATAAAGTTGTTTGTTACCATTCTGAATAAATGTGACATGTTATTCCAAGCGATCGAGGCTGTGAATTCATACAAACAGTGTATTGAAAAAACAATGAAAAATTTATGCTATAATTGCTGTATACCTCTCCTCCATTCGATTAAATTGAGCCAAATTTTTACATAAGTAAAATGATTAGAATTTTCATTTTTGTGACGAAACATGGTTTCCTTCACAGGCTGCAAACAAAATTCGTTCTTTGGAAGGCTTACCAACTCTGAATCATTTGGTATTTTTGCATTTGCGTGGGAACAGCATCGAAAAACTTGACGGCTTTTCTGAAGAAATGGCCAACTTGCAGTATCTTAACCTCAGGTAACCAGCATTCCGATTTGCAAATTTTATTTCTGTCATTCAAAGATTGAAAAGGCACGGAGTTTTCGTATCCATTCTGTAGTTATAACTGTCACAACGTCCCTAATGACTTTTGCCTTACGCCTCTCCGAATATCGAGCTTGCACTATATTCTTACCCATTTTGAAGATTCTGCAGAAGGTAGCAATTTTGGAAAGATACTCTCCCCGCCCCCCACAATCAATGTTGATACGCTTATTTCTACTTTTTTCGATTGCTGTTACTTGGGTATTTTCAAAAAAACCAACATTGCTGCAAAGGTGGGGGTTTCGATAATATTTTTAGGGTAAAGTTGCAATTTTAAAGGTTTTTTTCTCCAGTCCACTAACCTTTTGGCCAGGATTGTAGGTACCAAAGACACTAACCTTTTGGCGAATTTGGATCGCTTCATGCAATGTGCGAACTGGATTATATTTATATTTGTCATTAGCAGGTCTTGCAAAACAAGCTTAGACGTTTGCCAAGTTGTTTTGCCGGAGAGGCTTGTTTGATGCCAATGGAGCAACATTCAACTGTTTTGTGATGATCTTTTCACCTTAGATTTTTTTGCTATTAAAACAGTAACCCAGATAAGCATTTCACAAAGCAAATCTTTTGCAGTCAAAACAAACTATTTGGAGCATTCATCTATCTGGTCTATAAATATTTTTTTATAAAAAACACTTTCCTTTGTCCAAAAAGCTGTTAACAAGCTATTGAAACATAATTGGTTGCCCCTAAAGGCAAATTGTCATATTAATTTTATTTTGGATGCTTAATGAATTTTTTGTTGTTGAAATCTCCTTATCCTTTAATATGGGTTTCCAAAAGTGGTGAATTAATATCAACGATATAGCGTCTTTGACGTAACGTCTAGTTTTATCAGAAACTCCACCAAAAAACTTAAAACTTTGGTACTCGCTTCCCCCAAATAACGAATACATGTTAATTTTATCTACTTTTTCGATATTTAATGTTAATTACAATAGATCCAATGATTTTCCAAGTCTCAATATTGGACACTTCATTCTACTAATATTTCTGTATTACTATTTCTAGTAGTACTAGTATTACTAGTATTTGAGATTTTACTAGTATTTGAGATTTTACTAGTATTTGAGATTTTACTAGTATTTGAGATTTTACTAGTATTTGAGATTTTAGCATAGGTGCTACCTACTAAGTGGCAACATAAAACCAAATATCATCACTGAAAGCTCAGTTCACTACCGTTGAGATACAGAATACAAGCTATAGCACTATCCCGTTTTATTAAGTAGCATAAGCATGAACGTTTGTAACTAACAGATTATATCATGAAATAGAATTTTTATTGTCTCATCAACGTTTGTAACAAAGAAATTATATCATAAAATAAAATTTTTATATTCTCTAGATTACCTTTTGAAATTTTTCTTGATGTCCTCATATCAGTCGTTTCGCATAAATCAATTTGCACTATAAATCTGACATCTAATTTTAAATATGAAATATTTTTTATATTTTAGGCAAAATAACATTTCTGAATTATCAGAAGTTACAAAACTGAAATGTCTTCCAATGCTGCGAGCTCTGGTTTTACTGGGTAAATTTGAGATTTCCAGTTTCATTCGCCGTTTCTTTTTCCTTTTGAACATCCATTTTGACAGGTCTGTCAATTAATTGCAAAAGATTGTGATATTGTTAAATTTGGTTTTTAAGAAATATCAAGCTTTTAAGAAACTTTAAGAATCTAAGAAGTAAGTCATTGTTTTGTTTACTCTGCAGAATGCCTGTAAGCCTTGACAAAATCTTTACTCGGTTAAGTTTTCACTCGGTTACTGGCTTTCCCTTCTCACCATTGCCAGGCGCTCAGACTTTAGATGGGCAATGGGGGGATCAAGGTTTTGCAATTAGTGGAAGGTCATGCCCAAAATTGAGAAAGCATAAGTGTTTCTAGGTAAACTGCAAACACAACTTGGAATATATAGCCCGAAAATGCTTCTGGAAGAAATTAAGACCAAACGAGTTATGATGAAAACGAGCTAATTGAAAATTTTTTATTCATTAGAAATTGGCACTGAAACTTTTGAGAAACAGTGCACAAAAGTGGACATTCCACTAGTGGACATTCCACAAGTGGACATTCCACAAGTGGAAATCTTAAAGCTAAAACCTGAATTTTAAAAATAGGTTTCTCCGTCATTTTCCAGTCACCTGAAGGGTATGAAACCAAAATAGAGTCATTATCTAACACCCCCAATCCTTGTCATTTAAATCTATTCCTGAAAATATGTCTCAAGGTTTGCATTCGCACTTTCAGAAAACCCTGTATGCATGGAAAACGGCTACAGAATCGAAGTACTGATTTTACTACGAAGATTAGAGAGACTTGATAAGGATCCTATAAATGAGGAGGAACGACAGGAAGCAGAAGAGGTATGTCAACAACATAGGTGCCGAAAACATGGAGGCTTAAAACCTCAAACACCCTATGGAATTCTGTTAGAAAGGGGCTAAATTATCTTTGGTAGAATAAACTCCTTCGCTTCTATGCACCTCTTCCAAATTTCTGTGCTCGAACTTCTGTATCTCTGGTATACAGGGTACCATGCTCAGAACTTTTTAATCTCTTCATAAAATGCAGTTTTATATTAGTAGCTGGAATAAATCTCTAAAGATACTTCTAGCGTTGAAACCACTTTCAAAGATACAAAGAAGGATTTTAACGAACAATGATAGTGATGATGGCTTTTTAATAGAGACGCCTAAACTTTTCAACCAGAAATGTCTTTCAAAAACTTATAACTTTAAAGCCATTGAGCTGCGTAATGAAGGATATCTGCAGTCACACAAATACAAAGAAAAATGATTTAGAATCTCGTAAAATGTGATGTTTTAAGCTGGTTGAGTAATACAAAATTTTGACGAAGGAAATAAATGACTTGTATGGACTGACTGATAGGTTTATAGAGAGGAAAGGCAGTTACTGGTGAATGGGAAATGATGGGCTGTGTTTAGAAGATGGAAGATTCTTCACATACTTTCAGTGGCATGATCAGATTTCTATTTGTGTTGCTAATACCTAAATACCTGAAGTTGGAACACCACCTTTCTGTCGTGTTGGCTACCTTTCTAAGTGCTGTCGATAAATTCTTTCCACCGTACAATGTTGCACCCTCACAAGAAATGTTTATGTGTCCAATCCTAGTTAGGAAATCACGGACGGGGAAACAACTTTAAACAGTGAAGATTTTATTCAGGAGTTCCAACAGTTTTGAAAAGGTTTTTAGTTCCCGTTCATCTGTTGTCACGACTCGTATCAATGACGCTGCAACTGTGCTTTTCAAAGCAACCCCTTGTTAATGAAACACCCTTTTTATCATTAAAAAGTGATAAACTTTCCCTTTTTAGATCTATGAACAAAGACGCCAGGAAGAGGCACAAAGTGTAAGTTGAAGCTAACTTTACCCATCCATTTAATAAACTTATCGGAACCTTTATTGCACTATATTTTAGACACTGAATTCATAAACTTCTTGTATTTTTGCCTTCTTATCCAAGTAATTTGTCAAGAAAACTGTCTCATAATACTAATCGATTATTGAAAGAATTCTCTATGATAGAGACTGCCAAATCTAAAATTTAGAGGCGTCGATAATGAGTATGCATCGTTTTTGTGATATCAAAGACATAAGTGAAGTGTTTACTAGGATTGTTTAAGCTCTATGGTAGTCTAGAAATAAAGGTAGTGTCAAGAATAAGCTTTTATCCTTTCTTTATATTAGCAAAATGCTTCCTATAGAAATCTACTAGAAAGGGCCTTGTATGTTTATAGAAACTTTGCAATGGAGTCTCAATGTAGCAGACACAATTTAGAGCTGTTTTACTGTACGTTGTACAGAGCTGTCCGTTGCATAGAATTGTCCGTTTTATAGAGGTTCTCTTAAGAGCTTTTTGACCATTTTAGAGAGGAATCTCAATCCATTGTTGAGCGGTATCCGTTGTAAATATATTTTCGTTAATGGAGGTTCCACTGTAGATATCATTTTTCTAATAACCTTTCCCAGGCTGGTCAGCTTTGTGACCGCCTTTTTTCTTGACTTTTAAGTGAGTAGGAGGTTAAATTCCTTTATAAACTTCCCCTTCCTACTGCAGTTACTGCTTTTACAAAGCACACCCGCAAATCAATACCATGCGATATATCTGACTTTCTTTACGACAGGCTGGGGCAGAGGTGATTCAGCTAGAGGAGGAAGATGACTGAATTTGTTTAAGTACTTTTTCTGATTCGCTTTCTGATTTTGTTAGCTTAGATTTTGTTTAAGTGCACATACTAGATAAACTGTTTTATGGATTCCTATCTGATATTAACAAATGTTACAACAATTGAAGAGTTCCAGTGCAAGAAGGGGAGGAACACTTTTTAACTGGAATTTTGATTATTACGATTTTGCGCTCAAGACATTCTGGTACATGTTCTGGGATTTCCGGTTTCCTTTAGATCGCTGGACAGTATGAGCTTTGAATACAGTAGAATTGCTCAATCAAACCAGCCCCCGTTATAACCAATCGAAGATCTTATTGCGTCGATGCCATTTGATTTAGCTATCTGGCTTGACGAGCCCTACATCTAGCAAACCTCCGTTTTATCAAACTCCCGCTACAACGAATTCCTTCTGCAAAGTAGTTTTCTGGGTGTATTGAAAGTTGATCACACTAGGGTCACATTTTTAAGATGCTCAATATTTTGCGTATCATTAATAAATTCTGATCCTTCCAGAGACTTGATATTGTATCTTTTTGCCCCAGAACTTCGAAATAGCTACATGTTTTGTACCAGCAAAGTGTAGCTGTCGAAAAGTACTCCAGAAATACACAACCCCTTTCTTTCAAAAAGTTTGTGATTCTATGATAAGAAAGAAGCTATCGACTCTTCGTAAACTATTTCACGATTTTAGTTTTCTTTTTCTGTTACGTTTTTCGGTTACTTGTAAATAAAAGGTTGTATTAAGAGGACTCAAACTCTTTACGTTTCGTTGTTTCGTTGTTTGTTACGAATGGCATTTAACAAATTGGTTTGGTAATCTCTGTTGCTATTTCTTATCAAAGTATGCATTAGAAAATGCTTTGATTTTATTAACTTTTGCTCATTTCTTTTAATTTAGAATCGCATTGTTTCAGGCTCTTGGACTTGAGTGTAAAACAAATAGATTAGCTGCATACAAGCGAAAAGGATAGCACTAATTGTTTTTATTGATTTCAATCGATCTTGCGATGCCACATTCTTAATTGAATTGATGCGGACAATAGCATTATTCCTGGTTTATACACCTGAAAGGATCATTGCAATTTTGCATATTGTTGCACTACCTGAAAATCTCTTTTAAAGTTTACGGGACTTATATAATTCCGAAGGTTCTAGAAAATGGAGTGAGAGTCTTACAAAGGAAGGAAATTATCTCAAAAGCTATAGTAGGAATAAATCAACTGCAGTGGGAATATATCTCCATGGATTTCAAGACTTACTCCATGGATCTCCATGTACTGTTTTTGCTTTTTAAATTTTTTTTAGCTCGAAAGCTGTTTTGTCATATTCAAACAAACTGAACCACGATTGCTTGAAGATGGAATGGTTGTACAGTCTTCAAAGTGCCATAGAACTAGACAAGATTGTTTTAACTTCAAAAATACGTAAGATTCGATATCGGAAATTTACGCGAGGAGTCCCAAAATCTGCATTTAAAGGCTTACCATTGTCATTACCGGAGAAGGCATTTTGGAGAGAGAGAGAGAGAGAGAGAGAGAGAGAGAGAGAGAGAGAAAGAGAGAGAGAGAGAGAGAGAGAGGGGGGGGGGGGGGGGCAAAATACAGCTTTTACAACTTTTCACAAGAAGCCTCTAAACCGTCACTATTTGTCTTCAGCTCGAACAAATACCTGGACATGTCTACAAAAGTTGACTTTTAAATAATCTTTTAAATGGCTTTGAAAAAAGCAAATATTTAGTAAACTAAAGCTTTTCGTCTGGCACTCTTCAGAGTTTAAAACGTCAGAACATAGATCGAAAATTCTACGCTAGGAAATATATATACCCAGTTGTGGATCAAAATAGGCCAATCAGAAACACGAGCTGCCGCTTGCCTATTAAAATGTTACCAGTGGAGTCCTAAGGTGAAAACGAACTCCTTTTGTCCACACAGTAGCGGTTCTTTCGTGCTTATGTAGATAGATTTCTAAAACTGCTAGGTGGAACGACGATCGGGCTTTACCAATAATCCAAAACATGTCGCCATTATAGTTTTTTGCACAATCTGGGTTTTCTAGGAAATGCTGCCCGATAGCAGAATCGCAGGTTTTAGTTGTAATTTTAGATTCGCAAGACCGAGGTGGCTGTTCTCTTTGGGGATGGGTTTTGTTTCTAATATAAGACGGAACATGTTGTTTTATTCTATCCTCCAATCTTTGGGTGGTGCGTCCTACGTAGCCAGAATCACACTGGCACGTTAATTCATATACAACAGAAATTTTTTGTGTGGCAGGAACGCAGTCCTTTTGAATGGATGGAAGGGCCTTTTTGGTACTTTAAACAACACGTGGGTTGACCGCAAAGAAACAATTTGTAATGGCCTTTTTTATTTGGCTTTCAAAATGCAAGGAGCTGTTACCAATCCAGGGTAGTTTTGGATAGACCGGGCACTTTTAAGGACCAAATTTTACGTCAGCCGAGAAATTTCCTATCTTCTCCTTAATGTAAACTGAAATAACATCTTCTGGATAGCCGTTCTCCAAAAAAATCTTAGTTATTAAATAATCTTTCTTTTTGAAATAAAAAATGTTACCTGTCTTTTCCAAAAACTAGAATGTAAGAATACAAAGTTATCACCTCTCAAGAAATCCAAATTTTAATCTCAGTATGAATTTCGTATTTCATCTGGTAAAATAATTTTAAAAAAGATTAAGTTTTGCTGTTGAAGTCTTCCAAAGATGGAAGGCTATCGTATTTCCAATTAATACACGTCAAGCCATCTATTTGGTCTTAGTTTTGTCAATAGTTTTTTAAATTGGTAGCTGCAGGTGAGACGAAACTTTATTTTCTGAGAGGTTCGGCTTTTCATATTTTGTTCACTTTTGTCCCCACAACTCGCCAGTAGCATTTCGGCCAATAGAGTAACAAAAAGATGACGCCATCAAAAGCTTTGAAATTTGCAAATCCATTTTGAAAGCAGAAATTTTTTGCAAAGTGGCTGTGGCATGGGCTGTAAACGACCTAAATTTTAGCCAATACGTGTTGTCACGTTTCAGCAAATGTATATAAGATTAACTTATATCGCCAAAAAAGTAGCGTTTTTCAGTGTTCTTACCGATCATGTGCTCCAAAAAATAACTGATCTAATAAAATTGTTATAAAACAAATTTTTATAGATCATTGGTCAAAATCCAAATGACGTCATTACTTAACGAGAACGAGTCAGCCGGATCGTCTCGAGGCCGGACCTAACTAAAATTTTAATGGCGGGAACTGGAAGTGTTTTTAGTCAAAAATGCTCTTTAAACAAGAAAACACACAAACAGAAGAAGAATCAAACAGATCAAATAATCATGAAGTGAGAAAAGCAGCAAAGCGGAAGAATGACAATGGATGGGATGGAGAAGGCTGGGTAAGTTGGAGGGCCTCCCTGCTTTGGTCTGGTCCCTATCAGTGAAATCAGGCCCCCCAAGACAGATGCCCCTTTTTGACCCTTTTCTTCTTACCTCAGCTCAACCTTTGTATGTTCAAAACGTTGTCTGATCATTAATCTTCTGTAATGTTTCACTGCTTGTAATGTTCCTGAACTAAGCAAGTTGTGTAGCTAAACCCCAGACTGAGTATGGCAAGTGCCACCCGAGATATCTTTTCTAAAATTTCCTTGCACACTTCACTTGGTAAAGATTAAAGGTATGACATTTTGAGGTCTGGGGGCTACATTGGTGTGTTTTTTGCGTAGGGCAAATAAAGAATCATGTTTACTTAAGATCTATATAATCTTGCACTGGTTTGATAGATAAGAAACAACTCTCAATCATGTCAATGTTTAATCTTCCTAGATGTTTTGCGCACTATATACACAATTTAAATTCACACTTATACCAAAGTGCACACTTGCACACTCAAAATTTTGCTCTTGAGCACTCAAGATCTTGTTGGAAACTGCCTTACTCTGCAGTCCGGGGTAAACCCATGCATGCATACAGCCCAAATATTTGAGAGGTCCCACATACAACATCTGAGTTCTTCAAAGTTTTCAAATTTTGCTCGTTTCTGATATCCGAGGAATTGAAATGAACTTTCTGCAAATTTGTAGGTCCTCTATTTCTTGATTCAATATTAGCCTGATCAAATCTGGATCCAAATGATCCAAATTTGATGTTCTATAACATTTTTTGGAAATTTTTTTAGCACAAAATGGAAGTCTAAAAATGCTAAAAATTTGTTTCTAGAAGAAAAAAACACGTTTTGAAGGTTTACCTTGAGCTTTCTGAATCTTGCAAAGCTTATTTTTTGTGCATTCCTGTATAGTGAAATATTATTTTTCAGCAGATAAGAGTAGAAATTGTGATTTTAGAAATAATGAGGCTCTAAAAATGGTTCTAGACCAAAGTTTCAAAAGATTTAGTCCCTGTTTGAACCATAAAAGCACTGAGTGGCACTTTCTTTTATATGTGTTGGTAAGGGGAACTGCCCTCTTTTTGCCTCCTTGGAACCATTTCAAGAGTTCTTCTTGGAATCAAATATAAGTAATAAAGGACATTTTGTAGCAAATTTATTAAATTGTTTTTTTTCTATGAATCTATGAATTTTTTCATTTTTTTCCTCAGCATGGTTACATGAGAGAAAAGGAAAGGAAACTACAAGAGCAATTTGAAAGCTTGAACAGCAAGAGAGACAATTCACAGCAAAAGTAAAACTAATTTTTTCATTTGTCAAGAACCAACAACATTGTGCCCATTTACAATTACAGGCACCACAGAGGGTTGAGAAAACTGGGGGTCTAAAAAAGTGAGGGGGGGGGCTAAAGCCTTATAAAAAAGGCTTTACTTGCTTGATATTTGTTGTTGCTGTGTTTTTATTTAATATTTTGTGGAAATGTATGTTGTGGAATCTAAAATGTGTAATGAACCTGAACCTGAACTGGTAGTTCATTACTGAATATTTGGCATTTTTTGCAAAATGTGGGGGAGGGGCTAAAACTTTTCCAGCTCCCCTGCTCCACGGTGCCTGAATTAGAATGAATTTGGAAAACAATAGATAATTAGAAGAAAAAAAAATTTTCTCTTGAATTGTCCCTTTCTTGCAATTTATATAGTGTGTAAAACTTGTTTTTCAATTTTTTTCATTTGATATTACCTTTTCATATAGTTCACTAATTGAAACATAGTTTCTACACATCTTTTTAGATCAAATATATTTGAGGGTGTTTGTATTTTTGTCAATGGCTATACAAGTAAGTTGTCATCCTTTCTTAAATTGTTCTGTTACTCATAGACAAGCTACAAACTGATGTTCTATGTCAAAATAATTTCATTAGAATGCATCAGTACCAAGAATATTTTTAGTCTGTAATGTTAGGGAGAAAGATAGAGGCCTACGAGAAAAGCCAATGGAAAGTGGAAAGGTGATATGATTTGAGGCTGGTGAGGTAGCAATGGGGACACTCTTGTGTATTTAGTGTACCGTGCTCATGTTGGGGTTAGAAACTTTTAACCCAAAAAAGAATTATTTGGGATTGAAATCAATAACCCAGAAAGTATTTCTTGCAACTTGTGTCACCCAATTAAGCTCTTTGATTTCAGGACTCTTTCTCTTTTAAATTTGGTCTCACTCTGTAAATCAAATTTCCTTCTTTGATTTTTTGGGAACTTGAAACCCAGCAAATTCCAGCAAGTCATAAACCTCTAACTGTTGAAAATTTTGCAAATTGATTTCATTTTTCAAAGATGTTTCCATGCACAACAGATGAAAGAAGTTATTTGTTGGATATTTCCTCTCATTTTAGCTTAATGGTCAAATTCATTTTTATCCCTAGCCCTAATGGTATTGATGAGTGAGTGAGTAAGTGAGTAAGTGAGAAATTAGGCAGTGGATACTTCTGTGGTAGAGTGAGTGACCTCATGAGCGTGCGAGTTGAGGAGTGAGATTTGCAATAATCTAAAGTATAGTTTGATTGTATGGTCTTTATTTTTTAATTTGATAATTATCAATCTGTGTTTCTTTTAGATCCGTCATCAGATCATTTAAAACAAATAATGGCTGAACATGGAGGACAGTACCAACACTATTATTCCAGAAGAAAGTGCACACACACAATTGCGACCAATCTTCCAAACAGCAAAATTAAAGAACTTAAGTAAGTTGCAATAGCTCATTGATTGTATGATATGAAGGTTGCATCAACTAGTGCAGAACTTACAATATCATTTTCTTTGCTCTTAAGTTTTAAAGTAGTGTTTGATAAAATTGTTCTGCTTTTCTTCCTGTTTTGAAGTTTTCAATGCATATTGTTTCCAGCTGGCAAAAGCTAGATTTTTTCCCAATTGTGTCCTGTTGTGTCTAATATTTTTTAAAAACATTTTGATTCATTGACTTAATAAGTATTTCCAAGCTTTCCAATTATAGATTGATATGTTGTCTCCAGCAAAAAAACTCCCTGAAGATTTCATGCTTTCTCAATATCCAAAGATTTGTCTAGCCTCACTAAACTGCAGCTACTTTCACTTCTTGCTCCTGACTTTTTTTATTGTCTTTAGTAAGTTTGTTTGACACCAAAAGGTTAGAAATAAACAAAATACTTCAAAACTAAGCAAAACTATAAATTCAGTAAAATATTTGTATTTTATACTTCTATTTGAATGCATAGATTCTGATGCATCTGCATACTTGATTTCATTTTTCTTCAGAGATGAGAAAGTTGTTCATCCTGACTGGATTGTTGAAAGGTATTTTTGATGTTAGAATATTATCCTTTGAAGGAATAATTTTTTTATTATCTATAACGTTTTTTCAGATCAGATAAATGGTAAACAGTTATATAAGAACAATCTATCATTTTGAGTTTGTCTTGGTTGACCAACTCTATTTAATATAATAGAGTATAGTAGCATGTTGGTTTAAAATTCTCTACATTTAAGTTTCACTAAACCGGGTCAATTCTATCTTAAGCTTTTATTCAATTAATGCAAATTCGCTGTCCCCAATCATAGACTTAATACTTTTGGTAGGACTTAAGAAAAATAAACACCTAGACTTTAAATTGCTTATCTATAACTGAATTCAAACTCAAACTTTTCATAATATATACCCTTCAATAGAAAACCCTAGTGATTTATTATTGACACAAACACGTTAGTTATTATATATCAAGCTGATTAAAACCTAGATTTTTCTTCTTTTATAACATTGCAAACTTCCATTTTTATTTGAATGACCAACAATTGCACGTTGTAAAAGTGTTGTTCTTGAATTCTCAGTGTCAAAGCTGGTCAACTGCTCCCTATTGAGAAATATCGTTTATATTCGGGGAAAAAGGAAGCAAAGGCATTTGCCAATTTCCAGCCGAAACCGATTGGTAGCGAATCAAATAAATTAAAGAATGATAATTGCTCGATTAAGAAATTATCATCTAAGGATGAAAAATCTTCTGGCCTAACAGACGCTGATTGCTTTGCTGCATTTGACGAGGAAATCTCAGGATACCCGATAGTGAATGCTACAAGTTCAGATCCGTTGCATTCAAAGAGTCGGTACAGTCAAGAACCTTCGACCAGTGCCTTACCAAATGAGAAGCACTTCAGTGTCTCCACTATTTCCCGGAACAATCTATCAATTGAACAGCAAAATGAATTGTCTGCTATTCCAACAACTGATATTCCATATAGCGATGCAGCTAACGATGCAAACGAAAGTTTTTCTATGAATGAAATTTTTGATTCTTGTTTATTTAATGACGATAACGGTAACACTGATTCGGGTGACACAACCAAAGGAGAGACAGAAAATTTTCCTTTAGATGCAGGCAAAACAGATAATGCTTATGCCGAAGTGAAGGACGATCACACCACGAAGGGTCCATATCTCACAAAGCACGACTACAGCAACACATCGCCAACGAAAGCAATGGGTAAGGCAGGTGACCCTGGATTCATGAGTGAGTTTTATTCCAACTCAAGACTACACCACCTATCTATGTGGAAAAGTGAACTGAAACGATTTGCGACAATGATACACAAAGCTTCCTTGTCTAAAAACCTGAAGAAGACATCAAAGGGAAAGAGTGAAAAATTAATCATGCATATTGACATGGATTCCTTTTTTGTATCCGTTGCATTAAAGGACCGGCCGGAGTTGAAGGGGAAGCCAATTGCAGTGTGCCATGCCTCAAAAGGTGTGTTATGTTTTTAATTTCTTATGTAAAACTAGATTCAGCAAGGAAACACTGGGCGTTGACTCAGTCATCTGTTTCTGCTGTAGTCACCACGCAGTTACCCTTCTTTCTGACCCTTCTGACCCATTTACTTTACAATTCTCATTAGTTATATCTGCATATCTCAAAGCTCAGTAGGCCCCCTTTATTAACCCTATTTACTATGCACTAAAGAAAAGAAATTTTCGTATGGTTTGTTGTATTTTATTTTTGCAGGTACCGCAACGGCAGCGAGTTTCAACTCAAAATCGGAAATTGCATCATGTAGCTATGAAGCTCGAAGCAAAGGTGTCCGAAATGGGATGTTCCTTGGCACTGCACGGACAATGTGTCCGGAACTTATATGCGTTCCATACTATTTTGAAAGCTACAGGACTGTTTCGCAGAAATTTTATGAAATACTAGTGTCGTTCACCAGTGAAATCGAGGCTGTCAGTTGCGATGAAGCGTTACTTGACATCTCAAATTTGGTCTCAGAAGGTATGTTTATATCTGCTTTGTTCTTTGTATATTTCCTAGACAAGAGATCAGCTATAGGTAAAGCCCAATCGCTACTTTTAAAGTATTAAATGCAGTAGTTGCGTCACCTGTCCGTTAGCAAATAGTATGTTAACAGGATGTTAAAAAAATGTCTTTGAGCGCTCTGGTTTGTGCAATTTCAGATTTACAAATAGAAGAAAAAATCAGCGATCTTTTCCTTTCTCTGCACTTGCCCCTCCCCCCCCCCCCTTTGTACAAAGTAGCTGTCCAGTCCTCATCTCATCAAATGTGATAAATTCTATATTAAATCCTCATCATTGTTCTTTCATTCTCCAGTTTTATTTTTCAAACAGAGTTTCTTCGTTCTACGCAGGGACTCTCCTTTTTCTTCCTTGCTACAATTTTTATTAAAGACGTGTTTTATCTGTCAGATTTTGTTTAATGTGTAAAGTTCTATTTACTCCAAGGTAAGTTAATAGAAGAAAACTATAGGGAATCTACTTGAATTCGAAAAAGAGTTTAGAAATCGGAGCTGGAGAATACGGAGAAATTAAAAGTCCAACAGTTTAACCAATTTGTGGCAACCTACGTCACATTAAAGTTAGAAAATTGACTTATTATATATATACTGTGTTTAACACTGTTATTAATTTTACTAAGCATCTCAAAAATTCTCTGTTGAAGGTGGGTTTTGTTCAGATTTTTACCCGCTGTTTCAGATGTGCTGTTTTTTTCTATTTTGCCACTGAAAGTGGTCAAAAGCAACATACTTTTGAATGAAAATTGGATCCAGACCAAAGTTCCAGATTTTGAATTTTTCTAATTTTCACAGATTCTTTATTGCAGACGCTTTTTAGCACGACATTGTAAAATATCAAATCGTATATCGTAGCATATCATTTATCGGAAACGTGGAAAAGTATTTTGATATGATTAATTGGCTTTGATGTCTCTTCGAAAATTTTTTACTGCGCTGAATCCGTCTTCAGTGTGTTCTTCAGTTCTATTCTTTCTTCCAGAGATGACTGTTATGGACCTGGCCGCCAGAATGCGAGCAGATATATTGAAAGAAACCGAATGTTCAGCTTCAGTTGGCGTCGCATCCAACATACTTCTAGCAAGAATGGCGACAAGAAAAGCAAAGCCAAACGGGCAATTTCATCTGCAAAAGAAAGATGTCCTAGATTTTGTAGGTATGACAGCTACAGTTTTTTGCGATGTTTTCTATTTTTGACACGACACAAGCCTGCCAAGTCTGAGAGAAGAGGGCTTTAGTGGCAAACAAGGGCTTCACCAAAGCAGTGAGGAGGAGATCGGCCATTGAAATTGTCCTGTTAAGCAGATTAAATTGTTGATAATTGATAACAAATGTTCTCTTCTCTGTGGCCCTCAAATTTGAAAATCAATGTGTTCCTTGGAAGATGGAGATTTAGTCATGAATTAAATTTCCTTGTTGTTTATTTACTATTCCTGCAGCATCCGCTTAATAATGGACTCATGCTCCCAACATATTGCTGAAATAACCATAAGTATTGGGATTATAAGGACAGTTTCTTTCGTTTAAAAAAATTAATTGTCAGAGGATTTTTATACGTAAGTAAGTTGGAATTCAAAGAAATGAAGTTATTTTAACAGATTCTCCTACAATTTCCTATCAGGTAAAGTGATTCCCGAAATTGACTGTTGAATTAGACTTTTTAGGCCTCATCAAGCATGTGAACCCAATTTTTCTTAACTATCCGCCCTACTTTTAGATAAAGTTCTTTTTTGTCAGGCTCTATCATTGTATGTAGACCTCAAGAGGACCATCAAAAGCAAGAAAGGGCCGAGGGGTTGGATCGCCCATAAAAATTTCTTAATAAATTATAGCTTGCACTCATCTGGCAGCCCCTTCAATATAGATTGCTTCTAGCTGACCATTTTTAAGTTTATTGCTGTCCCTTAAACTAAGTTTTTTAGTCTATCCTTAGGCTGTCAAAAAGTGTCAGACCTCCCTGGTGTTGGCTACTCTATGCAGTCAAAGTTACTTGCAATTGGTGTGAATACGTGTGCTGATTTAAGGCAGTTCTCACTGCACAAACTCAAAGAAAAATTTGGGCCTAAAACAGGCCAGTCGTTATACAATAACTGTCGAGGAATTGATGACAGGCAACTGAAAACAGATCACGAAAGGCAAAGTGTTTCCGCAGAAATTAATTATGGAATTCGATTTGTAGAGGTAGATCTGGCGCATTTCAATAATTATTTTTAGTAACAGTTCCTTTAATGTTTGCTGATTAGCTTTTTACTTGTTTTTGATTTTTTCTCAATGGGAGTGCTAAATATTAAGGCAATGTGTTAAGATTCCACTTTTTCATGCCATTTCGAAGCAAGAATCATTTTGTCATCATAAATTGATTTTACCCTTAAATTATCTTTTAAATTATCCATCTCTTCTTTGAACAATATTGGCGTTTCAAATTCGAGATACTGTATAAACCTGTCTGATTCTTAGATTCTATATTTTTTATATAAGATACACGATAGTCAATTTAAATTTGCCTAGTTTAATTGGAATTGTTTGAAAACAGATGGATGCTCCAAAATAATTTCATTTCCCTTATTTGTAAGTGCAAAAGTTAGTCGTTCACTTTGATTCTCATTCCTTTTTAGCATCATGAAACGCATTCTTTTTTATTTGAGTTGGCTAAAGAAGTAAGTGAACGCTTACAAGCGATAGAAATGAAAGGCAGTCACATCACTCTCAAGGTATTATAAAGTATTGACTCAAATTATTGTTTCTTATCTACCTTTTTTTACAAGTTTTTGTCCCATTTGATTTTGAAGAACCATGCTGTTGCCAAGAAAACGTAGTACTAGCCACCATCACAACGACTATTTTAAGGTTTATAAGTTAATTTATTATTAAAACATTTTTTGTTGATATTATCTCTCAAGTAATGTTTAAGATACCCATTCAATATCAGCAATCTCAAGTAATGTTTTTAGATACCCATTCAATATCAAAATGAAAGATGAATGGAATATCAATTACCAATAGGGCCTAAAGTCGATACCTATGGCTTTTTTCGTGCATCTTTAAGCATATTTAACAATCGAAATACCATTAGAGTATGTAATTTGCATCATGTTTGACTGTTAAGGGCCCTTTGCTATGGCAAGCTTTTTCAAAGAAGAATCAGCAGATTTTTGAGATTCTATTTTGTGAATTCTCGGTAGGTCTTAGGTACCATTCTTCTTACCTATGCTACTTGAAGGCATTTGCGGGATTTGACTCCGGGGTTTTCAGCCCATCTCTCTTGCGTTTATTTCCTTAAGTAAATGTAAGGTTGAAATGTAGGCATTTAAGAAGCCATGGACTCTCCATGTCAGATTTTGGGCGCTCTTGGAACATGTCGTATCTTCTTCTTGCTTTCTAGCTGATGATTAGAAAGAAAGGTGCACCGGAGCCCCTCAAGCATATGGGCCATGGTATTTGTGACAATGTGTCCAAGTCAGCTACCATTTCTCAGCCAACAGACAATGCAAATATAATTGGCAAAGAAATCGTTAACCTTCTGCAGCAGTTTAAAATCGTTGCAAGTGACATCAGAGGCATGGGAATTCAAGTATGAAATTAAGTACATATTTTCTAATACTATTTGTACATTTTTCTGATGATTAAACTTACCTGAATCTTCTCTCGCCTCTGTTTAACCTGTAAAACTACTTTGCCATCTCATCTTTTTCTACATCAGTGTGTCAGAAGCTACCTTTGGTCGGTGCAATACTGGGCAGGTTTTTCACTTTGCCTACAATGTTTGTTTACAAAATTTACTTATGTGGAAGCACAGATCCTGATAATGCCCACTTACTTCGTTACAAATCAGTTTCAAAATTTACTATTGCACGGCCAAGTAGTTATTTTTCTGGCTCGTGTATTTCTTCCTTAATTGATAGCTCTTTCCTTCCTATCTATTAACTTGATTTTTCGTTGGTTTTCTCTTTTTATTACGAATATGAAGTCAAAAGGACGAGCAATCAAGAAAGGTCAGTTCTTGTTTACTAATAGACCTACTTTTTATAGGTTGCCAAACTCGTGAATTCAAAATCCGGACAAAAAATGCTGAAAACGATTGACTTTGGAAACCAGTCAAAAGCAAAATGTATTGACCCCTTTAAAATCGATGAAAAAGCCGGTAATACGGAAAGTAATGTTGAAGGCCTCGATCCACAGCAAGTTGAAATTAAACTGCCATCAAAGGCACATACCTTAAAGGAAAAATCTCCTGTTAAAGGCTTTGGGAAGAAGCAGGGTAAGAAACTAAACAATGTTACTAAGAAAGCAACTTCTCTATCGAAGTATGTCACGAAAATACCATTAAAAGACGCATTAAGTGGCGAGTTCGATGTCAGGAAATCTCGGGGTACAGAAGACCCACCTTTGCCATCTTTAAGTGGATCGCCAAAAAAGGAGGGACGTTCTTCAAGGTCAGATAATTTTGGCTCTAATTTGGGCTTACCACCATTATCAGAAATAGATCCAACTGTGTTTTATGAGCTGCCCGAAGATGTGCGAAAGAGCATTTCTGAGGCATATAAACAGAGAAACCAAGTACTGAATGTAAAGCCATGCAGTTCTAATATGCTTTCCATCATCGAAGCTTCAGAAAAATGTTTATACGATACATCTGAAAATGGAAAATCAGGCAGAAATGATTGTTTAAAAACGAATGAAGATAGGCTGGTAAGTGATCCGAATCCAAAAGGCGATGAAATATTTTTCAATGATGAGTCTGCGTATCCTAAACATGTCAGCGATGCTTTGGTTGAAAATGCAAATCGGCCTTACTTTGATACCGTGGAAGATAAAGAACAAAATCAGCCAGTCATGACTGAAAAAGACGTTTATAATCCGCCAGAAAGTATCTCCAATTTCGGAGACGAAGAACTGACACTTTCTACGATCGATCCAGAGGTCCTGAAAGCCCTGCCACCGCATATACGAGACGAAGTACTACAAAGCGTAAAACTACAAAATAAACGGACGTTAAGAAGCAATGAAAATGGGCAACATCAAGCAAATAAGATGCTTCCTGCGAAAGGCAGAATTAAGGAGAAGACTGACAAGAGTAAAATGCAATTCGAAAAGAGAAAGCAAGAGTCAACAAAGCAAAAAAAGATTTTTACTACCCAGACTTGCAAGGAAATTGTTCCTAATGGTAATGTCCCATCCAAAACATGCCAGTCTGCGGGTGCTTCAATGCAGCTGGAAGAGAAGGAGGAGTCAAAGGGAATCAAAGATGGATCAAAAGCTGTACCTCAATGCCATTCTTGTGAATCAGTGGTAAGATAGTGCTTTATTTTCCGTAGCACACAAAATCAGCATTTGATTTAAAAGTGATATATCCGTTACTTTGTGATAAATATGATCCGGAGAACCGTAGATTGCCTGTTTATGATAAACAATCTTTTGGTGGTACAAAACTTGTAAATGGCTTTGAAAAAAGCAAACATTTAGTAAACTAAAGCTTTTCGTCTGACACTCTTCAGAGTTTAAAACGTCAGAACATAGATCGAAAACTCTACGTTAAGAAATATATATACCCAGTTGTGGATCGAAATAGGCCAATCAGAAACACGAGCACCTGACTGTATAGGTTGACCAATCAGTGCCGCTTGCCTATTAGAATGTTGCCAGTGGAGTCCTAAGGTGAAAACGAACTCCTTTTGTTTACACAGTAGCGGTTTTTTTCTGGGTTTATATATTTCTTAACGTAGAGTTTTCGATCTATGTTCTGACGTTTTAAACTCTGAAGAGTGTCAGACGAACAGCTTTAGTTTACTAAATGTTTGCTTTTTTCAAAGCCGCTTATGATAAAATTCAACGGCAAAATTTAGCCTATGATCTAGAGAAGATGAAATGCTATTTTGAATAATATTTAATTACGCCACACTAACGTCTTTTTGTATCAGTTTTGACAATTTCTTGCTAATAGAAAATTCCTTGCTAATATTGCTACAATACTTGCTTATTGCAACATTATGATTTTATTTGCTATTTCTAAAAACATTTCAAAAATTATGCATCAAATGCCACGCGAGTTGCTCGCCTCCCCGTATAACCAAAGTATTTGTAACCCTAGGTGCCCTAGCCCCTAGTTTTGACGCAGTTTCAAACATTTTTGACAATTTTATCAAATTTCAAACTTTTTAAACAATGCTATTAAATATAAAGCTTGTCAAAAATGGGCCTAGCGTATTGATAATATTCAGTTTTAGAGAGATCATATTCGAATTGAATAAAGTTTTTTTTCTTTCTGTCAAGAAATTACCTTCTTTGAATGGAATAAGGGATCATCGACAAGTAAAAGATTTGACAAAGGCCTGGGTTCTGTCAGCTGATGGTATGGCTTTTTTTACTTAAAAACTTGCAACCTTTGTTATCAAAACAGAATTCATCCACAAGTTGGTAAAAATTTTAAAAAAGTTGCTAGAAACTACCTATACAAAACGAAGCAGGGAGAATGAAGTTGTAAAGCTACTAATACTTCTGTTGTTTTGAGCTTCGAAATGGGTTTGGCAACCCTTGACTTGCAGGAAGCCTTTCTCTGATGTTGTTTCTATCGAAAACCATCTCAATATATACATGGTATGAAGCTGAATGATCAAGTGTATCATCGAATGCAGTTATGATAAGCAAGGGTTTTCTATATCCTGTTCTGCTGTGGGAATGCCTCTTGAATGGCGTTTTTCAATTGGTTCGACATTTATTTGCTTTGCTTTTCGTTTTGTTCTTTTCCCATAATTAGATAAATGCTTTTTTACTACCCGACTTTTAACTCGACTATTAGCCCCGACTACTAGCCGACTACCACCCGGCTTCTATCCTACTACTAGCCCCGACCTATAGCTGACTACCAGCCAATTACTACCCGACTACTAACTCGAATGATAGCCCCGACCTATAGCTGACTACCACCTAATTACTACCCGACTACTAGTCGACTACTAGCCTGCATGTATAGTCCAACGTGTATTCCATCTTTCCATAACAGGGTTTTCGAATTGAGAACTGAAAGTGAGGCTACCAGTAATAAAGAAATGGTATACGATATGGCACATAGTAAACGTACGGTTGCTTTTTTACCTATCTTCGTGGGAGCAGAAAATCTCATTTTTGTCCGGCATTGTAGGTTTATTTAGATGCTTCTAATTGCCTGTCAGCCTCACGCTCCTCTCTTTCATTTTACTGACGCTAATCAAAGATTGATCTTTGCCATTATAGATCCTTTGATGGAAGATGTGGAGGAATTCGTGACATACATTGAAGAACTGTTTGGCTGCCTCTGTATGGAACAGGCCTTCACACTCCTCAAAATGCTGAAAAGGTGCTCTTGCAGCGTATTGCTCATACCATTTCCTTCAATCATAACTTCGTTTCGTATTGGTATCAATCAGTCATTTTCGTTTTGTTCGGCTTAGAAAAGACAGCCCAGTCAGGTTGTATGCCTAAAGATAGCAATTTGAAATCATGCTACTTTAGAACTTGGGATCTATAATCGATGTAGTCTTCCACATGATGTTATGTTACCTTGAGCTGACCTTAGGACACATCTAGGACTTGGGACGTGAATCTAATGCCAATAACAATCACAAAGTTGTTTATTTTTTGTTTGCTGTTGAACCGCTACCACTGTCCCTCCCTGCTGTCTAGGGTCCTGATCTCAAGCAAACTTTTGTATGAATAGATTATAAAGATGTTTGAGCTCAATACCATTTGAAAGTTTTTTATCGCATTGGCAGTATCACCGATATAGAAGATATATCACTAATTGTTATATAGTTTCAATTCTTTTTCGGTGCAGATTACTAGAAATTTTCCGACATCTTGAGTAATTTTTGTTTGTTTCAAATTCTTGTGTGGTCTGCACATATTGCAAGCCCTTAACTCCTCCGCACACGATGAGGAAATTTTTGAGCAAAATATCTTTCGTACCGTTATGCCCAGGTAAGTTCTCGCCTTGTACGGGCCATTTTTGCGGAGGATTTATTCCTTTTCCTGACCGTTTGTAGCGGGCTTTCATCTAAAATAAAATATGCTCTAACAGGATGGAGAGGGGCTGATATGATAAATATATAGCTGTTATAAATCCTTAGACACGTTTACTGAATAGAAATCTTTTGAAATTGAAGGTTATCAAGCAAGTCAGAGCTATGGACGATGAATTGGGAGTCGATCAGTAGCAGAGTGCAGCAATTTGTTGAAAACCGATATGGTGGGACATTGTCTTTATAGGAACAGAAATTTAAGAAATGATTATAGGGAAAAAGCTCCATTGAACGCATCAGCAAAGAATGAAAGCATTAACATGAAAGTTTTGCAGAATATAAACGAAGGGCTTTAGGCAGTAAACGTGTTTAAAGAGACGTAAAAAATTCCTTATGTTCCAGGTGTTTTTGAGCAAACATTGTGTTTGTTCTGTTGACCGCCTCTTGAACATCAACTTTGCTTAGCTGGCGCGAACTTGTGAATTGGTTAGCTCGTTTGAACTGGCCATTTAAATTTCTGCTAAATACAACTGTTTTGTTTCTGGTTAAGCTTTTGGCTTTTTCAACTTCTTTGGAAATGTTAACTTGAAATATGCATATGATTGTTATATTTTTATATTCATATACCGCTTTTGCATATAAACAGCAAAACAATGAATTTTAATGCATTTATAGCTGTATAGTCTTAAGATATTTCAAATTTTGATATATTTCTGATTCAATCGTGGAATAATTTAATTTTCGCCTTTATTTATTAAAACTATTATTTACTAAATTGCACCTATTGTATCAAAATCATCTGCATTTGCATTTTTTTGCGAAAAAATCAATTTCCTTCAAACAACTTAATTTTTCTGATAATCCTTATCATGCGTTTTCTCCTCGAATTTTTCCCTTTCAAATGTAAGACATACCTTGTATACGAATTAGCATTATTCTACAAAACAACCATCTACCTCTATCTTATGAAAAACATATTTAGTTTTCCATCAATGGAATTTCAAAATTTTCAATGTACGAAAATTTGAATATTGGCGGATAGCCCACTCTGTCCAAAGGACTGATTTTCAGGGGTGCTGTATCAAAACCTTACAATATTAAAAAACTAAAAAAATAATTCAAAATTACATCTATGTTTAAAATACAGAAAAGAAAAATATTATAGTTAGACTGACAATGGCAAATTGCTCTTCAGCCTACTCTTAAAAATGCTGAAGGACGATATGCCTGTTTGACATCTAAAAGCACTCCATTCCCAGTCTTTGCTCCCCAGAATGAGATAGCCCGCTGCCCATTGCTAGCTTGTGTTCCAGACCCCTATCTTGAAAGTAGAGTTAGGGGTCTGGGGCACAGGCTACCCATTGCAAGTTTACTCTTCTAGAAGTGATGTTTCGAAGTTTCCCCAAACATTGCCTTGATCAAACCATTCCTTCTTAGTTCTTTGGCGGTATTCCTATGAAACCATTGATTAAATTCACACTATGGAAATCTCATAAATCCTTTGTTGGAAATCCTATTATTTTGTCGGAAAATCCACAGAGATCTTTTCATTTTGGTTTAAATCTGATTCACTATTTGCAAGATTGTATTGCCTCTCGTTTTATTATACGAGGTTGCTGAGTAGCGAAAAAAGATCTGAATAATTCAGGGTGCTTTTAAACAAGATTTTAAACAGGGTGCTTTAGCAAAAAGTAAGGGGCTTTAGCCAGAGGTATAAAGCCGGAAAATGTAGAGGAAATTCTATATACAAAATGAACGTTTAAATTATTTTCGTTTGCATGCCTCCTCAATTTCTTTACCTTCTATTTTTTCTAGGGTTAAATTATATTCCATTGTCTACCTGTTGCTTGAGTAGAAAAATCTTAAAAATAAAGAATTTAAAGTAGTAAAATTTTGCCACCCCCCTGCCCTCTCCTCTGCAATGACTGCCTATTTGCTTCTTACAAAGATTTCATTCAAGTTATTTGATATTACATTCAAGAAGTAATTTGATATTACAATAAACTCCCAATGTTAAAATTGTCAGGAAATGTTGCAGATATTTACATTATTGAAAATAACTAAAATCCATTTTTAAATCCCTTGAATGTTGGAAAAGCCCACTAGTATAGGAGTGAAGGGATAAATAGCGAAACTTAGCAATTAAGAGACTAGTTTGTCTCATAAACAAGTATATTTGAAAATGAAACCAAAGGGAAAATCTGACAAGTTTGTTCCTGTTTCGCATAAGCAAAGGAAACGCCCCTGATTCTCAGAAGCGATGTGATTTTGTCTTGTTGAAGACTGGGAACCACTGATTGTCTTTGTGCATTTGGGAGTAATTCAAAGCAGATGAGGGCCGGGATTTAATGGTTGGAAACATTTGAAAATTGAGGCACAATTTTTAAGGTCAAGCAATGAAGTAATTACTTCTTTTTAATCTAATTCCGGAGCTTATTTTAAAGACCAAAGGAAGATTGATTAGTTGGAATTGTTAACAGAAAGAGGAAACGCCGATGCAGATAGTGCTCGGACCGGTTAGGCCGCGTTCTTTTCCATTTGAAATATGGAAACAGGAGACTGCAAGTTGCGCACACAGACGATTGAATGAACGATGATATGTCATTCAAATTAAAATTCATGTTTTGAAGTCCAACCTAGCATGTCCAACTTGTTGTCATTGACATATCATTAAGATTTTTAAGAAGCAGCAAATGTTCGGATTCAAATAATTACAGCAACATACATGGCAGCTTTCAAGGTATTGCTGTTGGGCGTTTTAATGCATGTTGCAAGTCCTGATAAAGGTATTTTCTAGTTTTTAGATACTTTTATTTTGATTGCACCGATTGTTCTTCTAATCATTCTTTGACTACTTTTCACACCCTGCAGATACGGTAGGTTAGGGGCCACTTCTGCACACCTATGTATGATTTATAGTAATGCAAGCTCACAATTTGGCCCAATCCCATTCAATTGCTATCCATCCAATGTTTACCAGATCTTTGCAACAAAACATCTCTGAGATGAAATTCAGAATAAATTTAGAACTAGAAAGTGTTGAATTTTGTTTTAAACTGATTAAGCAGGTAACAGAACTTTGCCCTTTTTTCTAAAAATCCTTTTCCGAACATTTTTTAAGTCATTTTAAGCTTTATGGCTATAAGATACTAATGAAGGAGGAAAGAATAAAAATGTTTTCATAATAAAGTTTTTCTGAAATTCTCTAGATTTAAAATAAGGTATTATTAGGGGCTCCAAGATCCCTCACTCTCCCCCTCAATTTTTGCTGAAGCATGCTATTAAAGTTGTGACATCAAAGACAGTGGTGGAAAACTACCATAATAGTTGGCAAACTTATCTAGAGCCCTCTTACCTGAGAATTTGCTCCAGTATTCCTGAAGGTAATGTGACCTTTCAAGAAAATACAAGTTAACCTACAACAGGACACATGTTATTTTGGGGAGTTTTTGATACATATTGTTGTTTGCTATTTTTATAAAAAAGCTTGTGGTTCCTTTGTTTTTATTTGAGGGACTCTCTCAATTATTTTATATATTTAGAGAGTTCCTCTTTAGTTATTCGATCGTCAATACAGTCCTGTAATGTTCTCTTTTTCATTGACTGTCTGTCTAGTTACTGGTTGTCAAGAATTGGAAATGTGATAAATTTTTGTTATGTAAATTTTTTGCTGTATTGTGATCATGTAGAATTGCATTTAAGATTAACTTATATTTCAATGAAACTGAACCAGAATCTTCAGAAAATTTAAGTCTTATATTTCCTATTTTTCTAAAGTCATGAAATGCTATCCTGTGTTCCCTTGAGAATAGCCAGCAAACAGCTTCCAATCATACATTTTTATATTTTTAACATTAATTTTCTGAAAATATTATGTCTTCCACTCCTCTCTCCTTAAGCAATGTTGATAGTTCTTTTATTATCCTACAAGTCAAGTAAATAAACTCAAATCCTTTTTTACCAAGCTCTTTTGTCACTTTGTATAAAAACATTTTTTAAGGGAGAAGATAAATGTGTAATTTTACCTTACAAATGGATGATAAATGTAAAGTTTTGGTAGTCAATGGAGTTGGATTCTACTCTGGCAAAATTTTGTTTAGCTTGATGTTGTATATTATAAATTGTGTAGTAAGCTTTCAGTGAAGAGTCATTTAAAGCTTTATGATTTGTTTATAGTGAAAATTGGAAGTGTGCAGATTGAACAAGGAAAATCATATCCTAACACAAACAAAGGGAAAGATAATGTAAGTCTGTATTTAGAGTGATGTAATTTGAGTCATATATTGTATGAATAACAAATTTACATTAAACACCCCATGATGGAAGTTTTGGAATAATATATAGTAGGTACGGGTCTACTGGAAAACTTGATGTAAAATGGCTTGAAAGGTGATAGTTTGTTAAAAAGTTTGTTAGAATGGCACAATAACTTTTGAAACAATAAATCAAAGCAACTAGAGATTTTTAAAGATCAGAAATGAAAATATTTCCAAAATAGTTTGAGCCACATTTTAGTTCTAAATGTAAACAAATAAACATATATAAAACAATCTCAATTGTTGTAAGTGTTTTTGTCCACAAACCCACATTAAGAAAATACACCACTGCCTTCATTATTTTAACTGAGGGGCAAATTAATCTTTGAAAATCTTGGACACCTTCGGTGGAAATCCTGTTGCTTTTTTAGAAAATTCCTGAAAATCCTTTTGTTTCTGTAGAAATCTTGTATGGTATTGTAACAGTGAATAGACCCCATGTTTTTAACAAACATTGTTAAACACATTCACTGGAATTCTGTTCGTGTGGTGAGTTGCCTCAGCCTTAAAAAAAATCAGAAAAAATTTAACCACCTAAGCATTGAGATATTTGCTGGGACACATAAATGGGACACACATGCGTCAGAGGCTCTGGGTTTGTTTCTAAATTGATGCAGTGCTATGATTACTGGTCAGTGGTGGTTTTAAGGGGAGTCCAGGGGGGCCATGGCCCCAAGCTCCGCATCTATGGTAGCCAAAAAGGGCCCCACACCTAAGAAAAAAGATAGAAATTGTAAAGAGCAAGGGCCCTGTCAATTTTTTGGCCCTGGGCCCCGCAGTCCTTAAAACCACCACTGTTACCCGTATGGCTGCTCTTATCAATCTTAAGTTTATACATTGTACAGTTTATGAGTTGAGTGGTTTATAGCATCTTCAAAATCTTATTGATTGCAAAATATATTGTTGTTTTTTGGTTTTCAACAGCTTTTCTAGTTTAGATAATTATGCACTGTTTTCTTTTAGTGGGTATATGGAAAAGGTGGCGAGCAGCCTGTAGCGTGTGCTACAGACAACAAAACAGTGGATTCATATTTGGTTTTTCCATATGTTATGACTGAGCCTGCAAATGAAATTGTAGTGGAAGTCAAATATGCACTCAAAACTTGCCCATTTTTGGATACGAATTGTAAATATTCTTTAGGCCTTTATGCATTGAAAACAGATTATAGAGAAGACATATTGCCAAGTCCCATGGAAAACAAATATTTATTTGCTGGTAGATTACAAAATAAATCAGCATTATCGTCAGATTTTAAAGACTTTGCATCTAACATTAGCATTGGTATGGATGGGAAAAAAGGAGTTTTCCTTGCTCTCAGAGATACTGGCATTTGTGGTAATGTGAAGTCTCTAAATGTATGGTATTTTGCATGCCCTTCTGAGGCAGGACTCCTTTTAGAATTCAATGGCAGCCCTGCACCTAATAGGACTACTTCAGTGTTGCATGTCAAAGGAATGTGTGTTCCAAACGCTGTACCTGTTACAAGATTGGAAGATAATTTAATGCACTGTTTTCCAAATGGAACTGCCAGAGTTTATGGTGGATGTCAATGTGACAGTGGATTTGTAATGACAAAAAGTAAATCTTGCAAAGGTGCATGTATATTCTTACATTTTTGCTTAATTTTTTTGGCCATTGCATAGATAAGTGTAAGGACAAGTTTCAAAACAATTAAATGCTTGGATCTTCCTGCTAGAGGTGACTTTAGGTTCTTGTTTTGTAAATTTACCAATTTCTATGTTGCTATTCCTCTGCCATGGTGAGTAATATTCAAGAGGCCATAATCTGCAGTCTGTGGACAATTTAAAGACATACAGTAATGTTAAGTTTGCCACTCCTCCATTTGCTTTTTGCCTGACCACTGCAATTTCCTGTCATCTTGATGACTATTTTTCACAATTGGTCTTTGGCAAAACTTGTTTTCGATGGAAAATAAGTGCAAGTTATGCTCTTGTGATCAGCCTCAGGTCCACCAATTGTAATGTGGCACAAAATCATGACTGAGGGTATTTGGGCTCACCCTCGTCTTTTGTGATTATGTCTTAATGGTATCAAAGGTGCAACAGGCGTGGCCCAGCACATCTCTTATAATCTTTTTGCATCTAATGCCTGAATTATTTCATGTAGATTGCGAAGAAAGGACCTTCAAAGCCAAGAAAGGAAACGGACCTTGTCTTCGTTGTGGGAGGAATGTAAAAGATGGCCTGCTTCCGCGCAGAACTGTCTGCCAATGTCTTGAAGGATATTTCAGGCCAGAAGCCCATGTAGAAGACTATTTTGTTGACTGTGAAGGTTTGAATTGTTGAAATTTTTTCAAACAATAGTTTGCTTAGATGAATTGCGCCCAGACCTTTTACTGTCAGTAAGATGTATACTAGAGATAGAACCTCTCTCAAGCCAAAAACATGAAGAGGAAAAGTTGCCTGCCCTTTCCGTGCTACAATTCATTTCCCAACTCTTAGCATATGTACACACTCATTTTTACTAGTAACGTTGCGAAGAAAAAAGTTTTTTCAAGATTATAAGGGCGATAACACAGTGGTGCAATATACTTTGGCTATCTCGGTATTGCAAAACCTTTAAACATTACGATTGAAGCCATTACATTCAGGCTTGCAAAGTGAATATTGGAATATTGGATCATTTGTGCAGTCCGCCGGAGTTAAAATGTTTGTAATTTAGTATAATAAGGTTAGACGTCCACCCCATCTTCGAAGGCTTAGACATGCCAACCCAAGATCAAGGTACAACTTATCCCAAGAAATCCCCCTCCGAATTTCCGTTGCAGCTAAGGTAGTGTTGTACAGCTTCTATCTTCTCCATTACGTTTTAACGTGGACCTACCAGTGAAGTGTTTTAACGTGGACCTACCAGTAAAGTTATATCCGTTTCTGAGATTAAGGTCAATTGCATCTCGGTACTGCCCATTTGCTGCTTGGTGGACGGAAAGTAGGGCCAAATATACAAAGGCCAAATTGATTCGAACTCATAACTGTAAGCAATACTTCAAATTGCTTTAGCGACTTGACAATTTCTTCTTTCCATTACACTTCACCTCACATTAGATTGTACAAAGTGGAAATGATAAACTCTTTCAATTTATACCTTTGCAGCAAACTTAAGTAATGTATTCATTCCTTGGTTCGTTCAGTTTCATACCTTGTGGCTTTTGTACTCTCTTATCCTAATTATTTTAGCGAACGATTTACCAAAATCAGTTTCTTTTACTTTTTAGAGCCTCCGTCTGCGCCCAGAAAGTTAAATGCGTCACTGGTCAAGTCCCAATGGGCACTTATCAGCTGGGATCCCCCGTCAAAGAAGGGAACTGGAAATGACATTCAATTCGATGTTCAATGCAAGGGTTGTGAAACAAAGAATTTCCTTACACGTGATTTGGAGTATAACTTGACCAGCCTGAAGACCTACTCTTTTTACGAAGTCACCATTTTCTCAATAAACAATGTTACCAAGGCAACTGGAAAGAGTAATAGTATGACATACCGTTTCCAAACTCTGACAGGACGTGAGTCGAAAATTTCCTTATTCCACAAAGTCTCACCAGTTTTCTTACCCCGCATGCCTTTTGATAGATAGAATGCTGTTTACGTTAGCTTCTATGATAAATTTCGCTATAGAAGTCTATATTGATGGTCTTTTCTTGAAAGATACCTTGGTCAAAGATCTTGTTGGTTCAACTTTCAACTTTCGCATTGAGATGTCTATGAATTTAAATAAAATTTGTTAATCAATAACGCCTTTGGCAAGTTCGTTCTCTCTCTCTCGGACATTTCAACTTGGTGAAAGGTCAGCGGCCCCAAATTGGTCAAGAAACAAGAACCTGTCAAACGCGCCATTCTTCCTCTTACATTACCTCACATTTCTTTCCATCTGCATGTAAATATAAATTTTCTGCTTACCTTTGGTCATTTTCCGACGTTTATACTCAGTAGTATCAGGTGAAGTAATTTTGTATGCTATCTTTTTGCTTTTCTGTTAATTTTGAAATTTTTAGCTGCATAATGGTTGACCCGTTTTGTTTTTCCTACCAACAGTGAAACAGAGCTGTTGCCTATAATATCTTGAAACTAGTTTCGCAATTTTTGATGTAAAACTTATATGTTCCAGTTCCATCTGCTGTTCAGAATTTGGAGTCAAGAAGAAACGACGATGGCTCAGTCACAGTCATCTGGGAACCCCCGTCTGAGAAGGGAGGCCCTGATCTCAAATATCATATAATTGTGAATGGAAATCAGGGGGAATTTCAAATGCATTCAAATTTGACGATTAATCGGAAGAAGAAGTTGGAAAACTATAAAGTGTCTGTAAGTGCTTAATTTATTTTGTTATGTCTTTCAAATGAAGTTGCTTGTTTTATCATGTCAGTCTTCAGTCAGTTTGCTAGAAATGAACTCAGAAATATGGAATACGCTTGCTTGGCCGACTTTGTCAACTTGTTTAGTGGGAGTGCTGTGCAAACAAACTTAATTTCATTTGGTTCATATACACGATTCGCTAGATCCTTTATGCTGGAAATTCTTTTGATTAATATCTTTATGAAAAGTGAGAGGAAGCCAAGGGAAAGAAGAAGAAGAGAGAGAGAGAGAGAGAGAGAGAGAGAGAGAGAGAGAGAGAGAGAGAGAGAGAGAGAGAGAGAGAGAGAGAGAGAGAGAGAGAGAGAGAGAGAGATGCTGCCATCACTTTTTCTCTGCAACCTCTTTGTGACGCTCTCCTTTGGGAAGCCAGGTTCTGCGTGTCTGCTTTGCCTCGGCTTCTTGATCAATTTTTTTCGCACAACTTTCTTTGGGCTGAAATCTTTTCTATAATGGTTGTGCTTTCTGCTCTTTTTTGCAAATTCAGAGCCATGGGCATGAAGTTTTTTTTCTTGATCTCAGCCTCCTTGCTTTGGATTCCATCTCTGATCTTGCTTGTCGGACATATAACAGAAATGTAACCGAAGAGTATTTAAAGAAATAATAATTTACAATTGAAAGCAACAGTAGAGCCTCCATTTATCTGACACTTGTAGGGCTTGTTCTATATTGCAGATCATTGTCAAGCTCTTAGCGAATTGATGGAACCCTGGTTCAAATCTGTTATTTTGCTCCGTTATTTATTTTTTCCATAGTTTGGTTTTATTTGATTGAAAACCACTAATCAGAATAGATTTAAATCTGAATTTTAACTGCATTATACATTGGGTTTATCAGGTTTTTCATTTAAAAGTGAATAGTCAGAAGTTGAAATGTTCTCAACAAACGTTCTTTCATCCAGGTAAGGTCGTACACCTCAGCTGGTTTCTCAGAGAAGACGACAATCAACTTCAAAATCCAAGGAACAGAAAAAGGCAAGTTTTTATGTTTAAATTTGACTTTCCTCTACACTGTTATTACGAAAATGGCTTTTCGTATCTTTTTCCTCTACAACTGAGTCAATGGTTTTCTGGTACAAGTATTTCAGCCCCTGTTGGCGCATTTTATAGACTTGACCACACACACTACTTCGTTTTTTTTATTTGTTCATCATATGACCTTGTCTACTAAACCTAAGGAACAATTTGGTTTGATATTTTATGGTTATTTGCAGCATATTTAAAGCGGGTCGTATCGTAACACAAAGAGTACGTGGCATCAGGAGCTCCTCTATCCTGTCTGGTCGACACTTGAAAACCTATGATAATCCTTGCCTTTAAGGTTCCAGTGCTGTGTCAATGGATTATCTTATGCAATATACTTCAATTGCCATTCAGTAGGTTGACGTTGTATGACCGTTCGATTTTCTTGCAGAAAGCTGATTTGTAAATCAAGATCTTAATCTATATATTACTTTCATTTTCACAGGAATCGCAGTCGAAGTCGTGGTTGCTATTTGCGTCTCCCTTGGATTCTTGATCATCGTCGCCATTTTGGTTATTGTGTACACGTGTAGAAGGTAAAGCTGTTGTGAAGTTGTCTTGTGACCTTCGCACATTGAAGTTTCTTTTTGTCAAATCCCGCTTACAAAGTATCTATGTAAATATTTTGCCTCAAAATGTCATTTTATCGAAAGGATATTTTATATGTTCCTGTTTTTTTATTTTCCTGGAAATTACACCAATATTGTCGCTTTTGATCAGGAAACATATGTCGTGTCTGCATGAAATTAGTTGCTGTCCCGGCTAATTTTTCTAATATTTTGCAATAGTAGTATAATATTTAGTATATGATTTATAAGAACAATACTTAGGGTCAACATATAGGGATTTCTATATCACCATAATCAAGTGATGAATGAGTCTGATTTTATTGCAGGCGTGTCCAAAAAAACCAACAGCCAGTTCGACTACAAAGCGGAGAAGGTTCGTTTCATTTTTCATTAGTTATCTTTCAATGATATGAAAAGAGAAGCTAATTATTGACACTATTGTTGAAAACAACTGCTATCATACGTTTAGGTATTTGACTCTTTTCAAACAATCCTTCAATTGAATTACAACTAAAAGCAAGTTGTATTCGAGCTGATAGACCAATCTCGTGATTTTGAGTCAAGCACACGAAATTTAAAGGAAACTATGAAAATACACCGTTCAAAAATTTTTTGAGCTGAAATGACTATTAACTAAAATACAGCATCTTGTATTCCCATGAAAATTGAAATATGTCTAATAGTCTTTTTTAGTCTTTTTAAGTTTTTAATGAATAAGTCTTTTTTAGGTCTCCAAACTTCTCGTTTTTATTTTTCACGTTAACCGACGACAAAGCGGTCCCACTCGCAATGAAAGTTGCATTTACTTCTGTAAAAAGTTCCAGCCAGATTTTTTATTAAAAACAAGCCCTTGTTTGTTATATATCTCATGGACAGAGCTTCAAAAGATACCCTTAGGGATGTCTTTTGTTGCTATGTTAGCTTCTTGATGAAATTAGAGCATTGTCATCTGTCGAAACAAAAGTATTATGGATAAAATAAGTATTATGTAAATTATTAGTACAGATTCTGCATTGCTATGAATTTTTACAATTTTGCTTCAGAAATTAAGAATGTTTTGATCTTTCTCAGTTATCCTTCCGAAATTTGGAAGACGCCATGTGTACGTTGATCCAACTGTATACCAGGACGTAGCAGATGCAGTCAGGGATTTCACTAAAGAGTTACAGAGAGACTGGGTAATTTTAGATAGCCTTATTGGTGGAGGTAAGTGTCAATTATCGTTCACCATATCGCCCGTTGCAACACCCTATTCACCTCACCTTAGCTGCAACCTACCCACTGTCGCTCCACTCTACCCACTGTCGCTCCACCCTACCCACTGTCGCTCCACTCTACCCACTGTTGTTCCACCGTACCCACTTTCGCTCCACTCTACCCACTGTCGCTCCACCCTACCCATCGTAGCTTCACCCTGCAAATCGTTGCTCCACCCTACCCACCGTCGCTCCACTCTACCCACTGTCGCTCCACCCTACCCACCGTCGCTCCACTCTACCCACTGTTGTTTCATCTTACCCAATGTCAGTTCACCCTACCAACCATGGCTTCCCTCTACTTACCGTTGCTCTTCCTTACCCAACGTGGCTCCTTCTTCCCCATCATTTCTCCTCCGTACCCAGTTTGTCTCCTTCTTTTTTCTGAAAAGTGCAGAATTATCGATATCAGTTTTTTAATAATGTGCGGAACTATGAGTACCATTTGAAGAAAAATGCAGAGTTATGGGTACCATTTAGGAAAAATAACGAAAATTTGTTAGGAGGGAGATTTGGCATTAACAGAATGAATGTCCAGTTAGAAATGACAATATTAAATGTGTGTAATACTAAGATTTCTGGGCAAAGGTTATGCAAAATTTGTTGGATGATTTTCGTGTGCTTTCAAAATGTTATTTGCTTTGCGGAATTATGGTTATTAGGCTAAGTTATCCCCTCCCCCCGAGTCTCCTCTGTACCTTCCTTGTCACTTTTCTGACCACACTTCTTAGCGCCATACAATTAGCAATGCACAATGTTGGAAACATCTTTATAGACAAACATCAAAAGACCTGTCGTGATGGCACAACTTTTCATTAGGTTTCAACTTTGGATGAAGCCAGATATTGCACTATTTTCTCGAAAGTGCTAAGCGGCTTTTTTCGCACCCTAGTTTTTCCTTCTCATATTATTTTCTACATGGTTTAGGTGAATTTATTACATGTTTAGGTGAATTTATTACATGTTTAGGTTAATTTATTACATGTTTAGGTTAATTTATTACATGTTTAGGTTAATTTATTACATGTTTAGGTGAATTTATTACATGTTTAGGTGAATTTATTACATGTTTAGGTGAATTTATTACATGTTTAGGTGAATTTGGCGATGTTTACAAAGGCACTTTGCAACGACCGTTGGAAGAGGAGATAACAGTGGCCATTAAAACATTAAGGGTATTTTTTATATTTGATAACAAAGTTTTTACGTCATCGCATGTTTTGTTGAATCGTGCTTGTCTCATCAGGGTTTTTGCGAGAGCGTTTCATGGGGCTAACACTATCCTGTAATTGAAAAGTCCGACTCAGACTCGCTGTTCCCTTACTTTTAAAAGACCTTTTTAAAAGAAGGGCTAGGTAAACAAATTTAACCCTATCTTTGTCTCTATTATGCTGACTTGCTGAAAAAAATTCAGGGTAGCGTGGATGAGTACAGGTTTTTCACCACGTTATGACCTGTTGAATGATGGCCAAAAAGTGGTTATATTTTAAACGAATTCGAAGATGGAAATTGCCAATAGGAGGGAAGTTGCATCTGTTTACACGTGTTTTGACCAATCAGTGCCCTTGTTCTCTAACCTTGGACCTGTTTGTAAAGAAATATACCGCAGTCAATTGTTTTCGATTGGCTGATTGATTAAAGGTATTATTTTCATTATCAATCGAATTTCGTATCCATTTGTTACACAGGAGTATTCTCTATAAACGTGATTGTCTCAACGCACAATTTGATGTGTAGTTTCCGTTGCTGTATCTGTTTCTCCTTTTCCTAAGGACAACGTAAACAAAAAAGCCAAGGAAGATTTTCTCGCCGAAGCGGCCTATATGGGGCAGTTTGACGATCCCAACGTTGTTGCCCTAGAGGGAGTCATCACAAAAGGTAGCATGATTTGTCTTGTTTTTATTTTATTGCTTTAATTATTGGGTTGCTTATTATCCATATGAATACAAGTTTTTGGGGCATTTCGAGAGCTGTCTTGTATGTAGTAATTTATGCTTTTTATGCTGCATATTATCATACATGTTATTGTGTAGACGTTATGAATAAAATGAATAGGCCTAATCAGTTACTTGCTGTGTTTGGGGGGGGGGGGGG